GCTTTGCTCGCTGCACTCGGTTACTTCGCGTTGGATTCTTATGACGAATACATGCACAAAACCGAATATTGTTAATCCAGCATTTGTAGCAGGCTACCGTACAGTTACATCGGCGACATTGTCAACAGTACCGAACACACTCAGGTTCCGTTGCTGGTATCTTGCATTGGATCCTTATGACGAATACATGCACAACCGAACATTATGAATCCAGCCATTATAGCCGGCTGCGGTATAGCTACATCGACGACAATGGCAACAGTACCGAAAGTTCGGCTTTGCTCGCTACGGTTACCGGTACCTCGCATTGGATCCTTATGATGAATAGCTACATGCACAACCGAATATTGTCAATCCAGCCATTGTTCTAGTCTAGTTACATCTATCTTATCGTACGAAGAGGCAAGTCGCTCGAGGACTTGGCCAAATCCTCGACAACCAACTTGTGCATACAGGAGAATGGGTGCCGACACAGGAATCATCACCAACAAACTAGGAAATAACAAGGAGGGATGAATCCGGTAGGAGGATCCACTCTCCTCTGTGCGAGTGTTGTCGTGTAGCCTCCTCCTCCGGTTGACGACTGTTGCCATTCAATGACTCGACGATGTTCAGGCTGGTGATAGGGCTGGAGTTAACAGAGCATCCTCTTGTTCGTAGCGATTGATCGAAGCCTCTCCTCTTGTTGTCCGGAGCGACCGAAAAGGACTCGACAATGGTAGTTCGCCGGCCGTCAGCAGTAAGAGAAGAGAAGTAAGAAATAGCTATGGTTTTCTCTTCTATTCTGATACTGAAGAAAACCGGCGACTTACCCTTGTTCTCCAACTTGGTCGTCCATGGCTGAGAACTGACTGCCATCCCATGGTCAATAGGATTCAATGAGGGATGGCTTTCGAATCTGCACCGGAGATGACCGGCTTGAGTGAGGCTTGACAATAGAGATAGTAGAGGTGCGACCGACCGATCGATTCGAATAATTAAAGAACAACTCACCTGTTGACGGTCAAGCTCGGATTTATCTCCTGAATACCATAGAAATCCAATGAGGGAGAGAAGTCAGCACTGTACTAGTACCTTCAATTAATATTCTTACCTCGAATCGATTCGATCGATCGGCCGATTGGATAAAGCACTCACCATGCATTGTTGTCGGCCAAGCTTGGATTATCCTCCTGTTTACCATACGAATTCAATGAGGGAGAGAAGTCAGTGCTGCGCCTTCAATAATGGACTTTAGCCTTAACCTTAGTAACTTCAACGGTTCTTTTTATCCACGAATCGATCTAAATCTTTCGAAGCACATGACCGTTGATTCTGCAACTGAAGTGCGGGTACACTAATTTACACAGTAAACGCGAGCCAATCGATTTCAGAGTGCAACTGAGGGGGTAACCAAAAGGTGCGTCGTCTCATGGAGACGAAATTTCACTCTATGTTTTATTACTATTGTATTGATGATGATGAGCGAGGTTAGCTCTGGTCTGATTAGGCGAGCAACGAAACTAGTATGGATAGATCGGTGCGGCGAAGACTTGGCAGCAGGGATGACTGTGAAAAACAGCAGAACCACAAGGGGTCCGCCTCTTCAAAATGGCAGTCACTTGACTGCGACAAGCTCGAGCCCTACATCCGAAGCGGTGCCATTGCCTTAATCGACTCTGAGTGGATAATCCGGTATTCAAAGGAATCCAAAACAAAACCTGTTCCTCACAGACAGAACCTGCCACCAGACGCCTTGGTTTCGCTCGATACCCTCAAGGCTAATGTTGAGGAGAGAGGGCGGCTCCCTATTTTCGCATTAAGCTACACGTGGCTTCACCCGAATCATCCCGATCCGCATTCCCACCAACTGGAAACTCTTGCAGAAGGTCTTGCTGATATGATGAAGATTGTTGTCCCTGATGGGGAGTCTGAAGGAGGAATGACTTGGCAACGACGCAAATGTTTCCTGTTCTGGGACTACCTTTCTTTGTACCAACATCCTAACCCCCAACGTAAAGTATGGAGGTCAAAAGAAGAGAATCGCCTATTTCGACAGGGATTGGACGGTATGAAATACCTTTACTGTCACAAGGAGATTAGGGTCATCCGAATCGAATCATTCCCACCGCAATATCCCCAGGGCTATAACTTGCCCAAGAATGCCAATATTAGTCCATATTGTGACCGAGGCTGGCCCTTCTTGGAGACGAGTTTGTCATCATTGAACCCCGAAATGGATGGAACGATTCTGTTGCAGAAAGGTGCCAAAAGAGATACCTTTGCACAGGACAGGGACAGGAGCCCCATCCTGGCGCCTGCATATTTCGAGGAAGCACTGCAGAAAAAGACGTTGACCAACCAAAAGGACGACAAACCAATCATCTTGCAACTCTATAAAGAGTGTTTTGAGGAAACTTGCGCGGATATTACCCGCCTTCACTTGTTTGACATGTCATGGTCCGATGAAACCGTGTCAAAAATGGCCAAGGCTGTCTTTGCAGCGGGATACACACCAAAGCTAGACTGGTTATCCTTGCAAGGAAACTTTCTTGGTGCGAAGAGTTGTGCGGAGATAGCTGCAGCCGTCAAGTGCGGCAATTTACCGAGTTTGAAGCATCTTGATTTGTCTAGAAATCCTGACATTGGAGACAAGGGTGTTGCTGCTCTCGCTGAAGCTATGGGGTGCATCAATATTCAAGTTTTAGAGCTAGTAGAAACAGGATTCCATGATTCAGGGTGCAGCGCCCTTGTAGATGGCTTGGTCAAGACAGCTCCTTCGTCGTCACTATGCCGCCTGGACATATCTGGCAACAGTTTCAGCCCAGCAGGGCTTGGATGTTTGGGGAGGTTGGTTGCCCAATGTAGCTGCCTGACAGATCTTAGTCTGAGGGGCTCAGTAGGAGAGCATAGCAAAGCGATCTCATCTTTTAAGGAGCTTTGCAAATCAAATGGAGTCCTAGCAATGATGGACGAGGATGATTTCGGATTGGAGGATAACGATGTTGACTCACTTTGGTCTCATGTTCAATTTGGAGACTACAGTTGAGTTGGTAAACCGTCAAGCAGCCTCCCAAGGACACCCATGCTCATGTGCCCATTTATATATCTGCAAGCGTCCACTTCTGCAGCACCGTGACAAGGCCATCTTTTTCTCTCTTAGCAGTGGTACTGCTGTCAGGGTCACCTTCGCTCTTCCATAAAGTTCATAAAGATAGTACCTTCGTTTGAGATGCAGAGATCAACCATACTCCTAGCTTGGAATGACTGTTTCGTGTAGGTATGTGGGATCAGTCAAGAGGTAGGGGAAAATTGGACACAGTGGTTGCACAGGGATGCAGATGTACCAGGGACGAGAGATTGACTCTCTGTTTTAGTTTATCATCTAAAGTTCTACACTGTTTTTAAACTTCCACCATCATGTAACACATAGTAATGAGCAAGATCGCCCTTTCAGTATTCTTGCGTCAGCAATAGCAGTAGCAGTAGCTAGCTCACATTTTCTCAGAGTTTACCAATCCTTGCGCTTGAGAGCGGGCTTGTGGTTTTCATACGCCTGGTCAATCTCCTCAGATGTCTTTTCGGCGGTTTCGACCTGGAAAAAGTAAACAACACCAACAGCAACGAAGATGGCACCAGCGAAGAAAAAGAAGCAGGCTCCCAAAGAAGCAGTGGAAGCTACGGGGAAAACAGCACCGACCAAGGTGGTAAAGATCCAGTTGGACATCACACAGATACCAACAGCCTTGCCACGGGTGCGGTAGGGGAACATCTCGGGAATGACAATCCAGAGGACAGGACCCCAGCTGAAGGCAAAGCCAATAATGTAGATGGCGGCAAAGACCAGGACAGCATATCCAACACCCTGGGTTTGTTCCACAACAGAGAGGATTCCACAGGCAACAAGGCACGGGAACATGAACATTCCTCCGAGAGTCAAGAGCTTGGTGCGGCCAAAGCGGTCCACAGTTGCCACAGTGATGAAGGTAGAGAGACAGTTGATGGTGTTGAGCACAAGAGTTCCGGTGATGGCCTGGCTTTCGGTGAAGAAGGTATTCAAGATGTCAGGGGCATAGAACATGACTGCGTTGATTCCGCAAAGTTGCTGAAAGGCAAACAAGACGAATCCGAGGATGACACGACGGCGCATCAAGTTCTTGTTGGAGAAGACCTCGCTCCATGGAGCCTGTCCAAGCTTTCGCTCCTCTTCAACTTCGTGTTGCAGCTTTTCAACTTCCGAGTCAATTTCATCTTCAAATCGCATCTTGGAGAGTGATTCCTTGACTTGCTCCTCGGTACCATGAGCTGCTAGCCAACGAGGAGACTCGGGCATGAAAGCAAGGCATAGGATCAAAATCACAGCAAATAGGATGTTGCCTCCATATGAGATCCTCCATCCATAGTCCAATTTGGCAAGTCCAATATTCATTGCAGACGCAAGGACAATGCCAATTGTGATGGCGAGTTGCCAGAGAGTGCCAAGGGCACCACGAATGTGCTCTGGGGCACACTCGCCAATGTATACAGGGGAACACATGCTGAGCATGCCAATGCCCATACCAGAGAAGATACGACCAGCCCACATGACCTGCATGACAGGAGCCCACGCTTGAATGCTAGCGCCGAAAATGAACACGAGAGCAGACAAGCCCAGAGTAATCCGACGCCCAAACTGTTCCGCCAATCTCGAGTTGAGGAGAGCTCCAATGGCAGCTCCAATACCAAATAGACCATTGATGAGGCCCTTGTCGCGGTCCATGGTGCCTTGCGAAGCACCAACACAATTGATGGCATCGTGGGCACACTCCCACTTGAAGTGATGCTTAAAACCATCCATGACGAATGTTGCACCTGCCCCTGCGATATCAAATCCAAAAATGAGACCTCCAAGGGCTGCAACGCTTGCAACCAATACCATGAATTTCTTGGTCCTCTTGAGCGCAACATCAAGGTTAGCACCGCTCTCAATGTCAACCTCAGAGAAAGTGTTTTGGGTATCGTCAGGTTGTTCGCTCTTGATGCTTCCAGAGGTAGACATGTTTGCGTTTGTTGTGATTGTTGTAGACATGATTGTGTTTGCTTTGATTATGTTTGTGTTTGTGTTTTTGTATCTTTGTTTTGTGAGCTCTAGATGTTTGGTTTTCAGATGTGCACAGGTTGTCAGGTTGGTTGCTTGAAGAGCCCTTGAAGCTTGAAGCTGGAAATGCTGAAATGATCAACAATCCACCGAAATCATGCAAAGGGCTTGTCCAGTACATCAGGTCGCCAGGCTGGTTAACTTGGCAACTTGGCTGTTGAAGAGCTCTTGAAGCAGGCGACGAACAGATCCACTGGCTTCCGTACAACCTCTCTACACTAAACCCCTTTTAATCATAACCCGCCCCCCGAAATCATTACTGTACATGTACTAGTAGCTAGCTCAGTAACATAGTTTGGGGGCCATGTTGTGACAGGACGCCTGGAGGATCCCGCTCCGAATACCGGTACCGGTGCTGAATAGCTCCAGCGAACCACCACTTAGACTACTTGATCTCAATGGAAGCGCCGGTTATGAACATAGCCAGACAAGTGTTGGGGAAAATCCAGGCACGATTTCCCGGAGACCGAGGTACTGTACCGGTAGGTGGGGAGCTGATGCATTCAGCCTTTGGCAGTGAATGCATTCTTCTATGGCATCGGCTACTAATACGCCACCAGTCGATCGCTGCTTCTTTCCAGGCCTACCGGTCGTGACAATTCTTCGCATGTTCAATTCACAGTTACACTACTGCTTACTGTCTTGCCATTTTGGTGAATCTCGAAGATACATGTATTCTTGGCAACTCATGCATCGGTGATCTTGACGACAACTTTGCCGTGTGCATGCTTCGACCCTTGCAAATGGAAGGCCTCTCGGACGCTATCACTGTTGAATTCAAAGGGACTCGAAGGATCCACAACTGGCTTGATCCTGCCTTCAACCACATCGTTCAGCATCTCTCGCAAGTCTCCATCCCGCAGATCAAGACCATCCGGCATTACATTTCTAGGAACTTTAGGGTGCAATGTTGTCCACAACACAAGCCACAACCATTGAAAAGAAAGCGATACCAAGCCCCAGCATCCATGCAGCTCGATGTCGGATTGGACTCCAGGTGGCAAGGCGACATAGAAGCCCTTGCGCTTGATGGCTGCTCCTGAGCATCCGCCTTGCTCCCAGTTCTCTCCACCGACAAGATCGATTGCCACATCAAACGGGTCTGTTTGGTATTCTGGCATCTGCCACCAGTTCTGATTGCGGTAGTCAATGACACTGTCTGCACCCAAAGACTTGCACAAGTCCTCTTGGGACGAGACAGCTACGACGTGAGCGGCCCCTGCGAGTTTCGCGTATTGCAGCACACTAGATCCAACCGCGCCGCTGCCGCCAATGACCAGCACTCGATCTCCCTTGTTGACACATTGGTCCACAATCTTCTTGGCAGCCATGGTGCTGGCGGTCAAGCCACAGGATTGAATTGGATCAATCGATTCGGGGCAATGCTCCGTCAAGCTCTCCTTGACTACCTTGTACTCTCCCAGGGCTCCCGATGGGCCTGGGAGCTCAAAGCGTGAGACGACATAATCACCTGGCTTGAATGTCTTGCTGTTGGAAGAGATAACCACTCCGCTGAGGTCGCCCCCTACGACATATGGATGACCTCCTTTGGGTAGCTGGATCCAATCGGTCTTGCCCGAGAGTACACGAACGTCACCAGGGGCCAAAGCACAGGCGCTGACTTTCACCAAGATCTCGTCCTTGGCCTTCAAGGTTGGAACAGGCCAATCTTCCACCACCTGGATGTTCTTGTCAATGTCGCCAAAGCCTGTTGCGATGGCTGCCTTCATTGTCTTTGGTAAAGTAGTGGAGTCTGTCATTGTTTTAGTTAGTTGTTCTTTCGGTTTTGTCTCACTTTTTTCTTGTGAGCATCACTCTCAACGAGCTGCTTTCTTCTGAGACGAAAACAAGACTTGGCTACAATTGCCATATCCATCCATGAGAAGGGGAGGTTGTTCGTGAAAGATAGACGCGAGCAAACATAAATCCCGTCCACTGTGCGGCGGGTGGACTATTGTGGTGGTCGGGTTCGCTTCTTCCCGAAGCTTCCAAGATGCCACCGATTCAAGATATCATAGCTACATGTAGCTAGCTAGCGGTACGGATTACTCTACTCTACCGGTAGACAAGTCAAGCAAGCTTTGTTGTGGGCTTTGATGCTGGAATGTGTAAGCAGACGATGTAATTGGTGGTCGTCTCCAACCTGCGAGGCTCAATGCAAGTGGAGCTTTGATCTGGCAATTGCTTGGAGGAATCCAACCTTCTTTCTAAGAAGTTCTTCCGGCTCTGCTGCCTTTGTTTGTCCAGACATACGGGATTCAACGGATTTATCGTACGGGCGCCCTTTCGAGCGCTCCCTCAAGGCCGGTTGGCGTTGGCATCAAAAGAAATGCTTGTCATTTCGAGAATCCCAAAGCTGCATTGCAAAAGGAGCCAAAACTCATGAGATCCGATAGTAGTACCAACACTGTCACTCCTCTTGTAAAGCTTTTGTTGTATACTACTGGACTCTTTTTTCTGGCTACGTTGTTGTGCCCTCGTCATCTCTCTCCAGTTCAGTACAAGACAAGACTAGTGTATTTATTATGGGCTGCAAAGCAAGCAAACCAGCCGCTGAAGAAGAGGCTCCTCCCCTGAAGAATGACGCGGACCAAAACAACAACCTTGGTTCGACGAAAAGCCATGACAGCGGCAAAGAAATGGACGTTCGTGTGAATGACAATCTCCCCTTGACGGGTGAAAAATCCGACAAACTGTACAAACTGTTGGCCAAGTCTCAAATGACGCACAACTCGGGGAATGACGAACAGCGACAAAAAGACTTGGCATTACAACGGGAAAATTGGACCAAAGTCATGGAATGCTGTAAATTGGATCCTCGATCGGCCCTCTACCAAAATCCAACCACCAAAAGTACTCCTCTACACATGGCGGTCCGATTGATTGACAGTGAAAGTGGCAGTGCTTCCAGTGACAGCATTTCGCTGACAGACCTCATTCGAGCACTCATCAAAGCCAACCCCAAAGCACTGGCTGTCAAAGATGCCGGGGGAAATATCCCACTGCATTACGCCATTGCTCCTACCACACATTTTCAACCGGGATGGCCCATGGCACAATGGAAACTGCGATCCGATATTGTCCGATTACTGGTGCATGCCGATCCCAATACAGCGCAGGAATACATGACACGCAACGATGTACTCTTTGAAAGTGGAGACTCCACGGGAGGGTGTACTCCTCTCTATAGAGTCCTGCAAACTTTGCCAGATGATTTCGAAGCCAAAGGACCCACATACCAGTACATGGTACTCATTACCGAAGCAAGTCCCAACATGTCGGGGGTCGGAAACCAATCCGAGGGCGACAAACCACTGGCACTGCTCTACAGACGATTTACACGCCAATTTGACATTTCCGAAAAATTCTTTTCCGGTGATAACAGTCGGACCGAAGTGGTAGAACATCGACGCAAGTACAAGGCTGCGGCCGGGAATACCTGGAAGATTATTGAACTGCTGCTCAGACCTACCACGGAAGAAATTTCTGCGGCAGCCGCCAGCTCGCCGACGGGTGGACCCAGTTGGAGAATTGTTCATCGGGCTGTGCAGGTGGAAACTCCTCCCGACTTGTTGCGGTATATCGTCGAAACCAATCCAGAAGATTTGACCCAGACGGATCACAAGGGAAATTCACCACTCCATTATGCGGCTGCTTCGAAACCACCCGATCTGACCAATGCGGCATCCTTTCCGGCGTTTTATACCAAATATGTCGTCGATGAACTATTGTACAAATTCCCAGAAGGAGCTCAGATTCGAGATGGCGAAGGACGATTTCCACTGACGCTGGCGATCAATTCGGGGAAGCAATGGATTGGAGGCGGCATCAAGAGTCTCTATGATGCATATCCGGCCGCGCTGGAACAGTCCAATCTGCCAGATCATCCAAACTTGAAACGGATACTAAGTTTGGCCGATGAAGCCGAGAAAAAAGATGACGATGATGACGACTACAATGGCACCACGCCCCGACTAAAGGACAGTGTCATCAAGGATGAACAGCACGATGCCATTATGCTGGTGCAACAGGATGGTGTGGATGTCACGGAGGTTTCGACATCCATGTGGGCCCATGAAGAAGATGCCGGTGTGCAAATGCTGGGGTGTGTGGCCATTGCCAAGTTGGCCAAGAATACATCGGAAGATGTCGTGCTGCGAATAAGTCTCAGTGCCGTGGCGGCTGTAGTCAATGCCATGAAGGCACATCCCAACGAAGTCATTGTCCAAGAAAAGGCTTGTCATGCGCTGCGATTGCTGGCGCAAGCCGACGGAAAACGAGAAGTAAGTTTTGTTGCCTCGGGGGCAGTGGCTGCCATTGTGGGAGCCATGCAAGCACATGTGGGTGATGCAGGAGTGCAAGAGGAAGCATGTGGTGCCATTGCGGCCATTGTTCACTATGGTGGAACCGAACGAGCGACGATTGTGGCATCCGTCAGCGGTCTGACTGCCATTGTCAATGCGATTGCCGCGCACCCCGGTGCCAAGGGTGTCCAAAAACAAGGATGTCGAGCATTGTTGGAGTTGACCGAGTTCTCGGATGCCAACTTGCCCGAGTTGCATCGTTCTCAAACAGCGCCTCTGCTGGAAGCGGCCAAAAAGTCATTTCCAGAGGAATGTACCGAGTTTGCCAACATTGTCCTCTCGCGAATGTCATAACGCCCATGTGTCTGTGTTACCAGTGAAACCGTTCCAATGCATGTATTCAATAGCAATGCAGCTGGAGGTTCTCAAACTAACTAACTGTTCTCTTAGTAGATCTAAATCCTCAAAAGTACATGATGCAACAAACAGTACGATGCGATGTGTTGTAGTCTAGGTTCGGAGTCTTCCTCGCACATCCAAAAGGGACGGGTGTAGGGAAGCACGCACACGGTACCGTAGAACCCCTCCTCAGATGTTTCGAACGACACGAGATTGTGCAAACTGAAGGCGCGACGGCATAGAGAACTGTCATTTCATTGAAATCAGTGCCGACAAGGCTCTAGCAACTCTCCTACCGTACTCCAACTGGATGTTCAATATCAAAAGTCAACCCTCCAGTGCTATAGTTAGAGCCATTCATTTGTGCCTACTACTTGGTTCCTAAAACAGCCATCAAGGATTAGCTATGCCCCCAAGCTAGCTAGTAGGTGAGACATTCATATCCCCTGATCCCACTCCCGAGGTTTGCCTTCAATCTCTTTTATCACCGTGGCCACCGCTGGCTGGTCCAGTACCGGTACCGTCGTATTACCAGTAGGTTTCAAGGCCAAGGTCAGTGACTTTTCTAATCAGCTGCTTTTAAGATAAAGTCCGGAAAAGGGGATTCCTTACAGGTCTGCTCATATCAAGGTTAGCCTCCCACGCAGATGAAAGGCAAAGCACCCGGAGCTACATGTCTGGATGTCTGGATCTTTTCTGCTGCTGCTCCCATGCTGAACAGTATTGGTGAGAAATGCAAGGAGCGCGATTACTGGTGGTACGTGCAAGCCAGCGCGATTACGCGACTATCGCTATGCACGAATAAAATCAGACTTGCCGTCACGTTTCATTCTTTCGGAACAGAGTCGAGTGAGTCTACCGGTACCGGTATAGCGGTACTGGTACCTGGTACCGGTACAGATTGTAACAAAGTGCAGGCAGAGCCAAGTTGGAATTGCTTTGATTCTGTAGCACCAGCAACTGCGGGCTTACCGAGAGACGACGATCTTCAGGGATGGTGTGCCCTACCAAACAAATCAAAAAAGGTTGAAGTCTTGGCTACCCAAGTAGGCTAAAGGGTCACATAAACGAGCACTACGAGAGCCGAAAAAATGGCTTCGACGGCCACCGTTCACTTCTAAGATCATGCCCCAATTTGCTTCAGTCGCGAACCTTCAAAAGCAACCCCAACCATGCATAATTCTTGCTTTCATGATTTCTTGAACAACGCAGTGCTGCGCACTTAGAAGTGCGAGATACAACGATACAACTCTTGTAGTTTTGCGCTCAAACCAATGATGAAACAAAATCATTTAATTTTTAACCATCGTCAAATGGCCACCAATACTGTAGTCTGTCAGCTCTACAGCCGTAAATGGGCAGCAAGGACGCAAGGACCCAGTCCGAAGAGAAGGTCCACGCTCTTGTACATGTAAGTAGGAGGATCTAGAGATCTAGAGTACCGGTACAGCTGTCACAGCCCAGTCTTCTTACACGCACCGGATTCTTCCTTTTCTGCCACGTCAAACAATGCAGACATTTGCTTAAAACCAACTTAGTCTTGTACTATCTGTGACCCTTCAGAAAGCGGACTTCAATGTTCAGCTAAGTTTTTTAATGCTTGTTTTCGAATCTGAAACCCTCTTCTTACCATGACCATTGAAAGAACGGCTGGAACAATTAAAAGTGCTGCTTGCAACGTGTACAGGTACGTACAGATCGTACCAGTTCCCGTGGAAGCCTGCAGATCATTTACGTCTGGTCCTAAACTCTCAATGGAGCTGGCTACCAACTTTGCCAACCCAGTCAGGAGTCGGCTACTGGCCAGGACGATTGCTGATTTAGTGCCGACCCGTGCACAGGTGGTCTGAGAAGCTTTTTGTCTTTTTGTGCTAGCGGTCGAAGTAGCTAGCTACTAGTAGCTGGTTGAGGGACAAATGGATTTGTTGTGGCTCTCACAATTATTTTCCGCATCAAGAATTTATCATAATCACCATGAACCTACCGGTATCTTTCCCTTATCATCCAGAGCCAAGTTTCAAGTTCCTTGAACGTGAAAGGAAAGGGATCCTGAAAACCCTCACACTTGATGAGTCGGTCTCCAGTGTTGCTTCTTCGAAAGCCTCAAGTCAAAAGAGCGTTGAATTTGATATAGTTCAAATACACGAGCATCCCATCATTCGAGGTGACATCACAGACGTTCGAGGGGGAGGGCCGTCACTTACTATTTCGTGGGATTCCGTCTCCGAAGAGGTGCTTACCGTGCAGGAAGCTGAGTGTGCGAAGCCCATTGTTCCAGGGAAAAGGACCACAAAGGTCTTCTGCAAGGCAGAAAGGGTCCTAATACTACTGAATATGGGCTACAGTATGAAAGAACTTGCTCAGAAATACTCTGTGAAACAGAAGTGTGAAGCATGTGACAAGGATCACAAAACATTCTACAGCAAGATGAAACTTGCCGCTAAGAAGCTCTCCACCTCAAGGTCCGATTCCGCACTCTCTACATCAAAGAAGGTAAAGCAATCATCCAAAAAGAACAGGGCTGCGCGATCTCAAGAGACACAATGTCACCTTTACCTGCTGTAGTGACAGAGACATTACATCTTCCTTAGAAATGCATAAATACAACTTATCATACAATAAACATAAGCGAACCGCACGCCAATGATGTTACAGTTCTCGCCCCAAACAGCTATCACCGGGCGAAGGAATCGCTGGTCGATGAGGCAAGATTCCACCTGCCATGCAGGAAGCACGTACCAATATGCTGCTTTTCCGTGATGCATGCCACCCACCAGGTAGCACGTGATCGCTTCTATAAAGTGCACTGTGCAGCTTGTTACCAAGGGCTGAGTTGGAGTTGCCCCAGGGCTGTGCCGGTACGTTTGTTGTTGGCGGTGGTATCCGAAAGGTAGTTGGAATCCTCTGCCATGGTTACTGCATGACTAATATCAATGACGACACCCTTCGTAGCCAAAAGTGGGATCGTTGATACCTTCGAGGGAAAAACAACCTTAAAAGAAGGTTGTAACTTGCGTTTGTCTCAGCTTCGAACTCGGAAGAGGCCACCTGCTACGGTATAATCATGTAACACATACATGTAGTAATGAGCAAGACTCCCCAATAACAGCTGCCTGCCCAATTCTCTCACATTTTTACCAACCTTTGCTCTGTAGCTAGGTCACATTTTTACCAACCTTTGCTCGAGGCCGGGTTTTTTGCGTGCTTCAGGGGGGGGGGGGCTGGAAACATTGAAATAGTCACGATGTCCTGATGGTGCTGTGTACCATGCCACTGGGAATCGGACGAGTGGTACGGTAAATTGGACACAGTGGTTGCACAGGGATGCACATGTACCAGGGACAAGAGATTGACTCTCTGTTTTAGTTTATCATCTAAAGTTATACACTCTTACAACTTCCACCAATCATGTAACACATAAAGCAATGAGCAAGATCACCCTTCAGGTCTTCTTGTGTCGGCAATAGCAGCTGCCTGACCATTTGCTTGCTCACATGTAGCTAGCTAGCTCGCATTTTCTCAGAGTTTACCAATCCTTGCGCTTGAGAGCGGGCTTATGGTTTTCATACGCCTGATCAATCTCCTCAGACGTCTTTTCGGCGGTTTCGACCTGGAAAACGTAGACAACACCAACAGCAACGAAGATGGCACCAGCGAAGAAAAAGAAGCAGGCTCCCAAAGAAGCAGTGGAAGCTACGGGGAAAACAGCACCGACCAAGGTGGTAAAGATCCAGTTGGACATCACACAGATACCAACAGCCTTGCCACGGGTGCGGTAGGGGAACATCTCGGGAATGACAATCCAGAGGACAGGACCCCAGCTAAAGGCAAAGCCAATAATGTAGATGGCGGCAAAGACCAGGACAGCATATCCAACACCCTGGGTTTGTTCCGCAACAGAGAGGATTCCACAGGCAACAAGGCATGGGAACATGAGCATTCCTCCAAGAGTCAAGAGCTTGGTGCGGCCAAAGCGGTCCACAGTTGCCACAGTGATGAAGGTAGAGAGGCAGTTGATGGTGTTGAGCACAAGAGTTCCGGTGATGGCCTGGCTTTCGGTGAAGAAGGTATTCAAGATGTCAGGGGCATAGAACATGACCGCGTTGATTCCACAAAGTTGCTGAAAGGCAAACAAGACGAATCCGAGGATGACACGACGGCGCATCAAGTTCTTGTTGGAGAAGACCTCACTCCATGGAGCCTGTCCAAGCTTTCGCTCCTCTTCAACTTCATGTTGCAGCTTTTCAACTTCCGAGTCAATTTCATCTTCAAATCACATCTTGGAGAGTGATTCCTTGACTTGCTCCTCGGTACCATGAGCTGCTAGCCAACGAGGAGACTCGGGCATGAAAGCAAGGCATAGGATCAAAATCACAGCAAATAGGATGTTGCCTCCATAGGAGATCCTCCACCCATAGTCCAATTTGGCAAGTCCAATATTCATTGCAGATGCAAGGACAATGCCGATTGTGATGGCAAGTTGCCAAAGAGTTCCAAGGGCACCACGAATGTGCTCTGGGGCACACTCACCAATGTATACAGGGGAACACATGCTGAGCATGCCAATGCCCATACCAGAGAAGATGCGACCAGCCCACATGACCTCCATTACAGGAGCCCACGCTTGAATGCTAGCGCCGAAGATGAACACGAGAGCAGACAAGCCCAGGGTAATCCGACGCCCAAACTGTTCCGCCAACCTGGAGTTGAGGAGAGCTCCAATGGCAGCTCCAATACCAAATAGACCATTGATGAGGCCCTTGTCGCGGTCCATGGTGCCTTGCGAAGCACCAACGCAACCGATGTCGTCGTGAGCACACTCCCACTTGAAGTGATGCTTAAAACCACCCATGACGAATGTTGCACCTGCCCCTGCGATATCAAATCCAAAAATGAGACCTCCAAGGGCTGCAACGCTTGCAATCAATATGATGAATTTCTTTGTCCTTTTGGGCGCAATAGCTAGGTTAGCACCGCTCTCAATGTCAACATCAGAGAAGGTGTTTTGGGTATCATCAGGTTGTTCGCTCTTGATGCTTCCAGAGGTAGACATGTTTGCGTTTGTTGTGATTGTTGTAGACATGATTGTGTTTGTGTTTGTGTTTTTGTTTTGTTTTTTGTGTTTTGTATCTTAGTTTTTTGTGAGCTCTGGATGTTTAGTTTTCAGCAGGTCCACAGGTCCACCATCAGGAAGGCAGCCGATTAGGCCATCGCTAAAAATACGCACTCCCGCAAGTCGCGCTAAGTCCTTCGCGATTCGCGCAAAGTCGCGCTGCGCGAATCCAAAAGTCGTTCGCGATTCGCGCTAAGTCGCGCTGCGCGAATAGCAAATACTAGCATTTACACTAAGAAAGCCAATGTAAGTCGCGCTAAATCGCGGTAAGGTCGCACCATTCGTGCCATTCGCGTTGAACGAATCGCGGGAAACTCGCGCTAAGTCGCGCAGCGCGAATAGGAACGACTTTCAGCGATCTCTTAAATCGGCTGCCTTCCAGGCAGGTTGCTTGAAGAGCTCTTCAGCTGAAACGATCAACCCAGCAGATCCACCGAAATCAAGGCCGTGACCACTTGCTTTTGAAATGAGGTAGATGCGGTAATAACAATTTTTATTCAAATAGTCAGCGTAAAATATTACTTCATCTACCCAACTACTATCTTCCAGGTCGCCACGCTGGTCAACTTGCTTGAAGAACTCTTGAAGCTTGCAAGGAACAGATCCACCGACTTCCGCACAGATCGGTACGTACCGTACGACTGCAGTCAGCCACCATTGCAGCAAACGAAATAGATAATGGAAGCAAGTATCCTACATGTACTACTAGCTAGCCAGCGCACGCAGCTGAACCTATTTGCCTTGACGTTCTTCTATTAGTCTCTCGTCGTGTTCCCCACTTTGGCGGAAGGGTAGGTAGGCTCTGGCTGCAGTTTGGTTCATCAGTGCTGCATCGCTGCATCCTCTCATTTATCTGGGTCAGTGCCCTGCTTCCCATAGAGCATAGAGCAATCTACTACAGTAATCATGGCTGCCAATAATGAGAGTAAGAATGGTGACGATGATGACCACACCTACGAAGGAGCCTTGAATGCCCTTCTCCATTCTCCCTTGCATCAAGCAAGAACGAAAGAAGCCTTGGCCAAAGCAGCCGAACGTCGGACCAAGACCATTCATGACATGAGAATCTATATGCGTCGCATCGGTCTACCGGCGTCATCATTGCCAGCCATTGTTCATGTCACGGGCACCAAGGGCAAGGGATCCACGTGTTGTCTCTGTGAATCCATCTTGCGACGACACTATGGATGGAATACGGGATTGTTCACCAGTCCACATTTGGTCGATATTCGAGAACGAATTCGAGTCAATGGATTGCCCATTCCCAAGACGGTCTTTGGACAAGTCTATTGGCGCGTCCGGACGCTCTTGGAAAGCAATTGCAATCAAGACCAAGATCCCGATCTGCCGGTCTTGCCGGGATATTTTCGCATGTTGACACTCATGGCCTTGTTTACATTTGCGCAGTACCAGCAACCAACTTTGGATGTTATTATTTTGGAAGTGGGCATGGGAGGTCGCTACGATGCGACCAATATTATCGACATGACTCCTCTTGAGAGAAATAATATCGTGTGTGGGGTCACCTTGTTAGACTTGGATCACACACGAGTTCTAGGGGATACGCTAGAGAAAATTGCCTGGGAAAAGGGTGGAATCTTCAAAACCATCAAGGATGAACAACAATCTGCTAACTGCAATGACAGCAAGAACAACAAGAAGAAGCTATTTGCCATTGACACCAATACACCCGGAGTTATTGCGGTCCTGGAGAAGTGTGCCAAAGAAGAAGGTAGGCAGACACTCCTCCTTGTTGGCAATTGCACCAAGGCAGTCCCTTCGGATGCCGTTATTGGATTGCCGGGAGATCATCAACGCATCAATGCAGAACTGGCCATTGCTCTTTGTCAAGCGGTCGTGTCCTCATCACAGCAAACACCAACCACAACAATCGACGACGACAATAAGAGGATGAGTGTCCTGGATGCCTTGGCACAAGCACGTTGGCCCGGCCGGTGTCAAACAGTCGAAATGACAAAATCCAGCAGCATCCATCTACGCTTGGATGGATCTCATACTCCCATCTCCTTGCAAGCGGGATACGACTGGTTCACTTCCGTCACACAACAGCAACAACAACCGTGCAAGCGAATACTCATTTTCAATTGCAGCCACGAACGAAATCCAGTTGACCTCTTGCAGCTCCTGCTGCGACCATCGACGCGGGGAGTGTCCTGTGGCTTTGAAAGGGTATTCTTTTGTCGGTCCGACTTTGCACGGCCCAGTGCAGTCTCAAAGAAGAATGCCAGAGACTTGCTGGAGGACCATGGAATTCCACTGCACGAGGAATGGCTGCCTCCCAACAATAGTAGCGACGAAGAGGAATCAACAAAAGTAGTCACCACGTGGCAAATGACACTCGAGTCCATATGGAAGCATTTGGAGAAGAGCCAAGAGTCACAGCCATCTGAAACGGCGGTGAATTTGACCGTGGCGGAAGGCTTGGATCGCATTCGTTCCATGGCCGAGAGTGAAGCATCGGCATCGGTGGAAGTCTTGGTGGCTGGATCCCTCTACATTGTCGGCTCCGCTCTGAATGCCATTGAATGGTCAGAAGAAGAGGCGCCAGGTGGCATTGCCCTCTAGCTAGCTAGCTACATTAGAGGTCAAAAGCAACTTTTAAAATATATAGCAGGTGCAAATACTATTGTAAAGGCATGCAGAGAACGTCTCCTCATGCTCCGAGCTCCAACTCCTCCAGTTGATCTCCTCCCAAATGATCTCGAGCGACAAGGAAGATATTCTTCAAGGCATTCACGGCAGAGCGACCCACATTCTGAGACGCACGTACAGCTCCATTTCGCACATTGGCTCGACCCTGGGAATCAGTGAGAGTCCGACCAACCTTGGCAAACGACTCGCTCAAGGCCTTCTGTATATTGGCATGGAACTCGGGATCCCTCACACTGGATTTTAGAAACTCCACCGTTTTTACCACAAGTTGAACTTTTGCGTAGACTTGTCGGAACTGGCCCACCAAGATTCGCTGGACATGCCTTCGAAGCAACGACTCGTTGGAACTAATCACGGAGAGCGTTGGAGCAGACGTAGCATTGCTTGGTACAAGACACCAGTCCGTCGAGTTGTCGCTCTGATGGTGGTTCTTGCCTCTCGCGCTTCCAGTGGATTTCACATACGACACTGCGTCTTCGCGCGTCAAGAAGAAATCGCCACCGCCCGAAGATCCCTTGAGCCTCGAGTTGCGGCTTCGCGCCACACCCACAGCAATGACCAATACAGCAACCGTGGCAGCTCCTCCAATCATGAGCAGTCTACGTCGCTTTCGTTCCCTGACAACTTCCTCTTCTCCCGGACCAAATCCTTGCGCAACCATAGCTTTGGGCCATTTCAGCTTCTTCGCCAGCTTTTCGATCATTTCCGGTGTTACTTTTTCGCTTTGATCTGCAGCTTCATGGTTGGTTTTATTTTCGTCGTTGTTGCTGTCATCTTCCTCCTTCTTGCGTGTTGTTGTTACGTATCTCCGCCTAGGTTCCCGCGTCGGCGTACGCCCACGCTGCTTCAGCACCCAATCGGCCTTGGCTCGTGCCACCAACGCCCAGGATGGCGGAGGTTGGAACAAGGTAATCCCCGGATACATGGCCATCATGGGTTCCCCTTGCATTGGGCCAAAGTATCGCATGGCAAGACCGCGTAACTTTCGTGGAGGTATCCGTCTCATAAATTTAATGGCCGTGTCAATCAATTCTTGAAAGGGTACATGAGCGGGAATACCCATGGACACGACATGGGCGTGCCCTTCCGACAAGATTAAATCTTCGCGCCGCATCATCGCCATGTAGCCACTGTTCAAGGAGTGACTACCACCGGGGGTGCGATTGGTGGAGTTTCCATTACTTTGCATGTCGGAATCCAAACTAATCGAAGTCTCCCCGTCCTCTCCAATTTCGTCGTCGTCTGATACATATCCATCTCCGACGCGGTACTTCCAGCCAACCATGGACGAGTTTTTGGGCAATCCAGCCAAGACACTGTGTAGTTCCGCAAATTCACAGGGCGTAGCCAATATTTCTTGTCGATTGGATGAGTGACACAGCATGGCGACACTGAGATAAATGGGCATCAGTGGATGACTGCACAGGAAGAAGTCAAAGAGTCGCTTGACCAGTGTCGTATCTCGGATGTCATGAGAAAACCAAGTCAGCATCCATGAGAGGGCAAAGAACGGCTCCATTCCACAGCCATACAAGTGTGCATGTACCTCCGGGTCCATGACACTCAAGAGAGGCAACAGTACCATGCGGAGTGCCGTTTGCAAGTGTAGAAAGTCCTTCCTCATGGGTTCCCGGAAATGAGACAGAGACACCTGGTAAAGTACCTTGGATGACATTTCTAGGCCCATGGTAGCCGCTTGGACTGCCGCGTCCGACCCTGGTGAAGTTTGTTGTTGTTGCTTTTCAATCGCCTTGATGGACGCCCCTCCCAGAGCCGCCAAGAAAATACTGGCAACATCATGATATCCTTGATAATAACACAATCGATCTTCCGTAGGCAAGTCTTCCTCCGACACGGCCAGTGTGAGATTAATCAAATCCCCCAATCGTCGTTGTTTGCGTCTCAGTATTTTGGAGATTTTCTTGCGATGTTTGTTCATGATAATGCGTCGTCGGGATCGTTGTCCTCCCGTCAGCAAATGCCACGTGCAGCGCGTCACGTCGCGTTCAATTTGTTCGGCATCCATACAGGCCACGACATGACTGGATAGAACGGAATCGTCAAAGGATGCCAGTGAGGTAGTATCATCTTCGGCCAAAGCCGCCGTGGCGGTAGTATCGTGCTGATCAAAGGGTCCTCCTGTAAAGGCCGTGCCAGGGTTATTATTGTCGTCTTTCCCAAAATTGGTCACAAGTTCCGGAGTGGGTCCTCGTCGGAGCACCTTGGGAGACTTTTTGCGTGCTGGACTCAACACCGAAATCATTTTGCGTTCTTGAATGTCCGACAGAACCTTGCGTTCACTAATATCATCCAGTTTGTTGGTGCGGTTGCTCGTAAGACCCACCAGTTTAGGCCAAGCTCGACGGCGAATGGTATCTGATTTTGAAAGAAAGCATAGCATGAGTTACGAGATAATCAATCAACAAATTAATATACACCAGAAATAAAAGACTCACCATTGACAAGTCCTCCTTCACTCAGGGCCAACTCTCGTAACTTCCACAAATCGACATCAGGCTCTAGTAACACCAAATTGATCTCCTCGGCCTTTTCACGCATTCGCGCTTGCTTGTTGGAGGGGTGCGATGGAGAGGTCGCCATGGTCACCATGGTCAGTACCGGTAGCGTGGGCGAGTTATCTATCCAGAAACACCGGTATATACCGGTATATACAACCAATGTAAGAAGTTAATTGGTTGTGGCGGCACAGTACCGGCAAGTCTCTTCTTTGCTACCGTAGCTAGCGCTGTTTGTATTTTAAAACCCCAAAGGAAGGAGTGGTTGGTCTTTATTCTTCTTTTCTCGGTTAAACCGTTTCTCTGTCTTAGTTAGTCAGTCAGTCACTCAGATTCTTTGTCACCAATTGAGACATCGGCACCCATCAACCATGGTGTGAGTATTATTTGCTGGTATGACGATTGAGTTGTGGCACCACATCAAGCTGTGAGAATTTTTCTCCAGACCGTTGGTGACTGACGAAGGTGTCCGCGCTGGCCGATGCTACGTTGGCTGTGCGTGACACTACCAGAGAGACCGCAAAAATTACGTAGGTCTAGCTAGGTTTTGGGTTTTTGAATTGGCATCTTCAACCCAAGGTATCCACATTCGTACTGTACTGTACCACATCACCTACAAGTGTACCGTACAGTACTGGTACAGTATGTGTAACCGTACTGTCAATAGAGTTGATGGTTGGACAAAATTTCTGCCAGAGACAGCTTGTCGTCCTTCATGTAGCTACATGTACGGTATCTATGCTGGTACATGCTTAGTTAGTAGCTAACTCTAGCTCCAGCCGGAAAACGGAGTGGTGGCAGCGATAATTGAAACTGTAAACCTTTCCGAGTCAATTTGAACCTCTCCAACCTCTCCTCCTTTCCACATGGCAACTCCATCATGCAAACTGGCCATGCACGGGGTGTACTGGTACCGATAAGTACATGTAGTATGCGCTCCAACTCCGTTGCTTGTTGGACTGATACGCGCGTTTTTGTGGGCTATAGCGGGACTCTTCCACAGCCTGTACTGTCTCCTCTGTCTCCTCTGGGTCAAATTCTCAATCCACAACGCAAAAATTCAAAGACCACAGAAGTTGTTGCTTCCATAGCACAGCCATATCGCCACTGTGGAAGGGGTGGCAGAGCACAAGCGCATCGCGGGACGAGGGCATCGTTTTAGTTGCAAGCAAGACAAGATGCTCTGGACTCTAGCTACTAGTACCGTAGTACGACCGCGTTGCAATTCGAAAACGAAAGTCGGGCGAAGAGAGAAATGTTGTTCTGTGTTCAATACCGGTAGGAATGAAATCCCAGCAGCATTGCGATGAAGATAGTCGTCTAGGGAAATCTTAGTAAACACGTAGCTACACGAAACAAGGAACGTCACTAACTAGCGAGTGCCGATGGTTGTCACGCGTCCTCCACGACCATCCACAAGGCCCACAAAGAGGATACTGATCCAATAAAACACAAACAAGAACAATCCAAGCTGCCATGCTTTGGAGGGGTCATGACAAAAGAATATAGCACAACCAGCAATCATGGCATATTCCACGTAGGCCAAATAAGGTCGCAGATTGTCCACCGTTTGCATCCCCTTTTGTTGTTCTTGCGCTCTCTTGGCATCTTGCGTGAGTTCATGCTTGAATTTGCGTGTCACGGTTGCTTTGCGGCCTTGCGTATCGTCTTTCCAGCGCTGCAATGCCAAGTAGCGATCCACTTCCTTTTCCTTTTTACGCTGGACCACCTTGCTGACGGGCTTTTTGCTGCGAGCTCCCGACTCAAGTTCTTTTGTGGATTTATCCAGTGCCGTCAGGATGAGTTGCGCCAATTTGTTGTCGGTAGAAGTTTCGTAGACGAGCCATTCCTGGTGTTCTTCGATGCGTTTGACAAACCCCGCCAATTCCAACAGCTCCACGGCTCCTTCCACCTCGATAATGTTTTGCTTGATTTTGGGATTGACCAAACGCACTCGTTTCTTCTTGGGATCTTCTTGTTGTGGCGATGATGCATTGGAAATCAGCGTGTGCAAAATCTTGAACGTGGTCACGATTTGCTTGGTCTTGACGTTGTGATATAAAACGTGAGCCACGGCTTCCTCGACGACGCCATTGGAAGTACTACCAATGCTTTCATTGTCATTCGGGGTAGTGCTGCCGTCCGCGTCGGTAGCAGACTGGAGATCAGGAGCAACTTCTTCGTTGAGGACCATGGTGGGATGTTGTTGTCGGTTTGAGTGTTGAGGTTGGGTGGAGAAAATGAGCTGCTTCCAAGTTCACAGCTTTGACATTTAGGTAGGTGTGGTAATTTCGAAGACAATTTCTGACGTTAAGAGCAAACTTTACCGCAACTACCCGAATCCCTGTCTTGGATGGATCTTTTCAGTCGTGATATTTGAAGCCTGCAGAACGGCTAAGTGCTTGCCATGACCGCTACGGCGGTCTACGTAAGGTTCGTAGCACTGGAAAAAGTGAAATCTGCTCCAGTCGTGGATCATAGAAGCCCGTAGAACTGTTTAGTCTAACATTCATCCAAAGCAGAGCCTGAAGCAATGCGAAGGCACACTTCAAAGGTGGATGGGACTGGATCTTTCACTGCCGCCATCAAGGGCAACCGAACCCAAGCTCATCAAGTGCCTGGCTTGGAGTCAGAGTAGTACCACCAGCTACTGCCACCACAGCAGGCAACCCACCAAGATCGGCGTCAACGAAACAGTTATCATTGCCTTTTGACGGTTTGGATTCCTCAATTTGAAGGTTTCCCAGCGAACTCACAAATAAACAGAGAACTCGGGTCGATCGATCTAACAACAGCAACAACAACAGACTTGCAAAAGCAAAACAAACACTACTAGCAACTCAGAGGAGCGGTATATCATATAATAAGCAACAATCAGGACCATGGGCGGAGCCGCATCACATTTCAGCGACACGGACTGGGAAAAGGCAGATGGAGGATTGAAAGAGGCTTCGGAAACGTTTGACGGAACAAAACCAACCGAGGGACACGCCCTCTTCTACTTGACCAAGGAAAAGAGCCTCGTCAACCAACGCGATTGTGAATTACGAGATGAAGATAATACCTTACTGTATACCACTTGCGCCGTGGAAGGGACTACTAAAGACTTTGATCTGACGGACTCGCAGAAGCAAAAGATCTTGCATGTACACACCAACTCACTCCGTTCCAAATGGGAAATCTACAGTTACAAGGCTACCTTTGAAGGACAAACACCCGCGACTGAAGCGAAAGTAGTAGTAAAAGAACCGTTGTATCACAAAGCTACCGTGACCATTACCTACGACAAATATCACGGTGTCATTCGTCTCACGGAAGCCGCCCCAGAAAACACAGCTGGCATCTTGTCCCACGACGCGGTTCTGAAAATTGAAGAAATCAAGAGCATTACCGCGCAATTCCAGAGTTGTGTCCCGAAACTTGGATTGATGCACCCCAAACTGTGCGGATACTGGGTACGGGAACACACGGCCAAAACGGATCGCATCAAAGTCCATTTGGCCAAGGGAAGTGATGTTTGTTTGCACTCTATCTTGGTCGTCATTACCAATCTTTTGCATGTCGAACGACAGGCAGAAAAGTGCCAGTAGAAGAATGAAAAAGATGGAAGACTTGATTGCGTGGTCCGTGAGTTTGTAGGGTATATGTATATGTATAATGGATATGCAGTAGGAGGTATACGTATGTAATGTGAAGGAGCCTGATGCAACATCTAGAACAAGGCAAAAAGAGAAAGACACACAAGTCTAACGAGTGACAAGGGTGAGAAGCAAGCAGAGAGGCATCAGACCAATCAAGGGTAGCAAGCACACAACAATCGAAGCAACTACACAAGTTGGCGAATAACACGTTGCGCGTACCTCTAAAATTCAATCAATCATGTGATCGACTTTTGTATCCTCGTCCTTGGGTGGCATTGAAAATGGAAGACTCCCCCGTTTTGGTTAGTCGGATGTCCAGCATTGGCGATGTGTGATCCTCTTCCTTGGGATCTGCAACGTCGTCAGTGTTCTGCTGGGTCCCACCACAGGCTTCGGGAGTTCCAAGTTCAATGTTGAGGGTGTATAAAGGCTGGAACGGACTGCAGTGCCCCACAATGTTGAGGGTATGGGAGAAGATGTGGACCTTCAAGTCCACACCCAAAAGACTGCGGAGGTCGCTGGGCTTGGTTCTTCGTCGATGATTAGTTGTCATTGTTTTTGATTGTTGTTGTTGTTGTGCTTTCTTCTTCTACACTTGTCTACTTGGAATTGTGTTGGTTGTTCTTGTTCTGAGTTGTCCACTACTCACACACATGACAAGGATGTTACTACGGGTTTTAGAGTGTTAGAGTGGACCACTCGACGTCCAAGTAATCCAAATCGAATTCCTCGAAATAAGCTTTATTAGACGAATGGACCCATCAGGCGAGTGCCTCATATTTCTTTTGATCCCCACAGCCTAAGTACCGATTGGATACTTAGCACGCTAAAAAAATTTACCAGAACTACCTAAGGTTAAGGATACCCGGTTCAGTTCGCGACCCATCAACCTTGCACTCATTCGACTGACTCGACTCCAAACTCCAACATACTAGTACCGATAGGCTAGCAATACTAGTATTGTACTCCAACACACTCCAACCAAAGAAGTGCCATTGATGTTTCATCATTAGCCATCTGGGTAATCTAATCCACCATGACGACCAACTTGGCACCATGGCAGTATCATTGGAAGCGCCCTCGGTGGCAGGCAGTCGATGATCTTACTCCTGATGAGAAAGACCACAAGAAGAAGCAAGATGGCATCGAAGGAACGTGTCTCTGCATGACATCCGCACTGGTAGCCGAAGAGGAAGTTCCGGATTATCAGGAAGATAATAACAGTGGGAGGGGGCACAGCAATCCATCGTGGATGTTGAATGTCAATGTGGTAGCATCACCCTTTTGCAGCGTGGATCCGATTCATGAAACGACGGAAAGCACTACTACTGTGGATGTTACCCCAAAGAGTGGAGATCTACTAGTGTTGGAACTTGTAAAGCAGCCGGGTCCGACCAAGGAGAAAGACGAGAAAAACGAAGAAGAATCGAAGGAATCGAAAGCAGCCTTACAAGCAGAACAGCAACAGCAACCACCATCACCACATCAACAGTTTCGAAAAGTCTTGAGATGGCCGGGTGTGGCTCTGCAATCCGACAATGTCAAAGACGAAGACGACGAAGAAAGCACACAAAGCAACAGCAGCCGAAAGTCGTGGAGAAGCAATTTGCCAGGATGGTTGGGTGGAACCCCAAAGTCGAGATCGTCGTCAAGGACGGTTGGGATTGTCGCAGCCTGTTTGTGTCGTCGACAAGTGGACAATCAGCAAAAGGCAGCTGCTTTGGATGCACTCGATACCATGACGTTCTTGTCATTAGGAATGGATGCATCCGAAGCTCCTCAATACTCGAGACCATCGGAGGGTGGTGAATCGACGAGGGATCCAGAGGAAGGCGAGCAAGATTTGGAGCTTCCCCTTCCAGAGCTCTTGTTGGTTTGCTTGTGCAGTGATGGCAGTGTCCATGTGTACTCGCCTTGGAAATTGTTACAGCTTCCTGCCACGCAAAACAAGGAGAAAGAACAGGAGGATCTCTTTGCCAATTCCATGTCAACCTTCCTGCTGGGAGACTATGTTTTGGAGCAGCTGCAATCCAGCATTTGGCCTCTCAGTCAACCCGAAGCTACTATCATGTTGACCATGCCATTGCGCAAGCCCGGAAAGAAAGAGTCGCCCGTGTCCGACAGTACTAGCACGAGTGGTAGCAACCGTGAGAATCAGGACAACGTAGAGGACGGCACAGGGATATCCTTGTGGGATCGTAACCTTTGGGACCCAACCGTGGAACCTTTCACTGCAATCTACCGAACCGAAGACAATGTTCCCACACACTGCGTCTCCGCATTCGAATATGTGGCGATTGCTGGACGAGGTAAACGAGTCCAACGTGGCAGAGACAAGGCACCAGTGGAAGGTGGTTTCATTACACTGCTCTCGCTTCGACATTATTCTGAGGTTCGAACGCTCTTTCTTCCCTTTGTTCCGAAACATGTTTCTCCGTTTGTTTGGGGGGCAATGCAGTTCTTGTATGTAATTGGAGGAAAAGGAGTTGCGATTGCCATTCGCATTGATATGTCTGTGGCAAACACGGTCATCTGCGGGGGAGCTCCGTCTGCGATGCAAGATGGCAACCAGCCCATGATGCCAACTGTCAGCTCCGATCAAAGTCTCTTGTCTCAGCAATCCTCGAACAGCCTTCACAAGAATCGTGATCAGCCAAGGAAGGTACGCTGCGTGGTCCACCGTTTCCAGATCCTCCCAATTCTTCTTCCCGAAACCATTGACGATGAAACCGAGGCGTTGTCCGTTGCAACGTCATTTCTCTTTGGATCTTCTCCGTTTGCATCCCCTCCGAGGCTGGCACTGGTCTCGCCACAAAATTCGCAAAATCAGATCTTGGCGCAGCAGCGAACGCTCGAGGCGGTGGATTTTGTTCGTCCCGCGCTAGTCAATTCTTCGGCTTCCACAAAGCTTTTTCGAGGATACCGACGATCTCGACATCGGAAAATGCTGGCAATTGGAACCTCTCTGGAGCAGAGACATGTTGCAAGAGTCCCATGTGCCGTGACTGCAGCTGCCAGTGTTGGTAGCACCGTGGATTGTTGGGCGAACGACCCATGGTGTCATGTGGGACAGGTATGAAAATGACACCAATCTTGCGGCCGCTGCTGGAGAGATACTTACTAATGCTTCTGCCTGTTAATCGTTTGCAGGGATGGTGTCTATTGGGGGTGCTGAATCGCGTGCACTTCATTTGCTGGGAAGGAGCCACCGCATCGAAGGGCGCCTTTGTACAGGAGCTGGGGGCTTCCGGCGTGGATTCGGTGGAAGGGTCAAGTCGATGTCTTTCTTCCTACGTCTTGCCCATCGACCCATACTCAACGCAAGCGGCACTCAATTATCAAAACTTTGTCCCGGATCTGGCTCTGCCGTTTACCCAATCGGATGCATCGGCCAAACACTCCAAGTTGAAACGAGCCATTGCAAATGAACGGAGAAAGACTCGTGGCATTTCTGTAGGGCATGAAGGGACTGATAGTGGAATAGACGACGAAGTTGTCGAGGACGCCATTCAAAGTATTTCGATGGCAGACTACAAAAGGAATGTCTTCGACACCAGCCCTCCTGCTTCATACAAGCGCAGAGTGAAGAACTATTCGCATCGCGAAAAGTCAGTGCGGTTGCTTCGGAAGTGCCCAGCATGGTCTCAGCTGGATGATACGAAAGAAAACAGGATGCGGCTAGAAGGACAAGGTAAGTTCTCTTTTGCCGGCCATGCTGTGTCGTTGAAAAGGCGCCAAGAACGTTTCACGGGTTTCACACTTACTCTCTTATTCCCAGTGCCTGCCGTCAACATCAGACCGCAAAATCAGCTAGGGAACCAATATATCTTGACCGTCCGCCGCATCTATGCTGACAACGGGGCGGCAGGGACTCCGTTCTATCAAATACTGTCGTGGCTGTCGCACAGAAATGATTTCTTCACTGCCGCATCAGTGGCCTTGGATCTTAAAAAAGATGTGAGCACGTTGAGGCACTTATGGAGGTCGTTTGACAGGATTGATGAAGACGACGAAAGGACCAAGTTAGAAGGTTTGCTTGATGGAATTGTTCCTATCGACAGTATCAGCCGTAACAGCGAACTTTTGGACGCAACACTGACTCAATTGGCAGACATGACTGTTGGCTGCTTGACAAGAGGTGGTTTTGGCATGTCTGCCACCCTCGAATACTTCCTGCAGCAAGATCAATACTACGATCAGTCTCGAACTTGCCTTGTTCTGGCTGCCATTGCGGCGCAAGCAGTTTCTGACGAGGAAGGCACTCTCGCTGCGTTAATGGGCGAGTCTTACCAGAGACCTGATGATCCTGATCAGTTGATTAAGGACATCTTATGGCCTTTGCGTTGCCTTCTCCAAGTCGGTGTCGCCCGTGATTGTCTTTCTGTCTCATTGGCCCTAATCAATGCAGCAGTGCCGGACGAGCTCCGTCACAAACAACAACGAGAGCAATTCATTGATTCTATGAAGCTGTGCACGGAGCTTGTAAAACTGATTATTGGTTGTTCTCCACAGGCCACGCAATTACTGCTAGATCTGGTTGACGAAAAAGACAAGAAGCGGTTTTGGTATTCTCTAAATCACGACACACAAATGGAGCTCGCACTCATCGTCCTTGAAGAAAAATGTCCCATGCTTCATCAGCTGGAAGTACGATATTGGGTGTCTCAATATCTCCAAATGTGCTTGCAGGGCGCAGCCATCAGTGCGCTGCGTGGACCTCATAGTGTGCGTACAGACTGGCTGAATCGTCTCTGTTCGGCTTGTTTGGTCAACGCCGAGTGCAACATTTCTACCCTGATCTCGTCCAACAACAGTCAGCCAGAGTCTACCAATGACGGATTGAACGAGCACGTCCTCGAGCTTACACTGACTCGCGACGCTCTTGTCGCTGGATACGGCACTGGCGGCTTGGATTTCAATCTGTTTATACCGGCCCTGTTGCTTTTGGAAGGTTGCAACCACCAATGGAATGATGACTCTTGGGTTTCCACACAGTCCATTCTGAAGGCTGCCTGCAGCTTGGCGGGGCATGTCGCAGCTGACGAGCCACTATTCAAGTTTGATGGTACGACACTCATGAAGCAATGCGTGATTGCTGGGAACATTTGGGCAGGGGCCAACTTGATTGGGGGCAGCAATGGTCTTGTGTTGGAGTGTTGTTCCATTTTGATTGAATACTGTGGCATATCCATGGAAGAAGCAGAGACCTACCTGCGCAAAGACGAATTGAAAGTTCCAGCGTCAAGCAACAACTCTGACGAATCCGAGAATCAGAGCGAGTTTGTTCTCAACTACGGGCACCGGCACACTCTGTGGTTGCTGGATCAGTACGTTCTTCATGTTCGGACCTTTGGCGAGTTTGACTCGACTCCAGCGCGAGGAAGAGTCGATCCAGTGTTTGCCGCCCGTGTTTGCTTGCGAACTTGGTACAGCCTGACTCTACCACAGTTATCGATGGCATCAGTTTGGTTGGCAACCTGGCTTCGTCAGCAGCTGGGGATGGAGGATGACGTCGTGAGCAAGAAGCGATTGGCTTGTGCCGCACTGACGCGGGTGCTTTTCTGGCCGTCCGGTGACAACAGTGACATTGTGCTCGGAAACGAAATGAAACTGGAGAGTAGGTTCTTGGTTCAATTGTCCCAGGCTTGTTGGAACTTGGTGGAAAGTGTTCCACCCGGCATTGCGGATGAACTTCTCGCCCGAGACACGGTTGAAAGCTCCAGTCGAAAACGAGTTTCGGCATGAGCTGTCTGTGTGGATGTGCCAACAAATTAAAAGGAAGGCAGTCTGGAGAGACCACTTGACTCGACTTTAGCCCCAGGTTACAGTTTGCTAGTAGTAGGAGAAGGAGCCGCAAGATTGCTGGCTCGTCGGACCAGTATGTGGGCATGGTCAATATCAGGTAGGCTCTTGAGGTGTGGAGGATTCTTCCAATGGAGGACATCCAGAACATCCCCCAGATCTTGTTTGATTTCTTGACATGCATCCTCAATCTCGGCATCTGTCACTAGCCCACCTATCTTCCATAGTACATAGTGCCATATTCCCGGCTCCGTGTAGTATGGAAAGTCATTCAAGCTCAGGTTTGATGCTGGCTCTTGTTGGAGTTCCGGCAAAAGAGGGGTTTCCCACATGCCATCGACCCAGCGCTTTTCCAGCCCAAACTTGGAATGCAATATAAAGTGGTGCAAATCCCGCCATTGCCGTTTCATGTCACGCATGTACTCTTGATACTTTGCCTCCTGCTCGACACTTCGCGAGAACCTGGCCAAATCCTTGTCCCGTATTATTTGCTCCAGCTCGGTCCAGTTGAAGGGCTTAGTTCGATATCCGTATTCTCGCTCGGGTAGAACAATGGGAGTGCTGTTGTTATTACTGGAATGGCTGCCACTGCTGCTACCGGCAAGAGATGATGCTGCCGATGAATGTGAATCTTGGGTGCCAAAGCTTCGATGGTGGCTTGGCTCTCGAAAGAAGGCAACCACCCTACCTGCTTTGAATCTCAGTGGATTTCGGTATGCACATTGCGCAACCCGGAAAGAGGAGGAGACCATTATCATGGTCATGGAGAGCTTCCTCAGGACTCTCATCATCTCGGTCTCTTGTGCGAAACATTGGCGGCATCCCAAGCAAGGATTAGCCTTAACTCTACTGTATTTTTGATTGCTAGGTGCGGCGATGGCAATTCATTTTGACCCAGGCCAACATGATGGGTGGGCGGGTCTACGTCTAGGTCTAGCTAGCTAGAGAGCAGTAGCCATGGGTCAATGGGTGCTGTTCGAACATTGCTTGCTCAGAGACTTCCCTTTGCCAATAAGAAAGCAAAGAAACCAACCCTTGCAACGCGAAAACGTTGGTGGCAAATGTATCAGGCCAGTGACACTAAACTGTAAGCTGCAAAACGACAAACACAGAACAACAGGTGGCGTAAGCAAGTGGGCCTTCGTGGAACTATTGAATACGGTACCACCATAAAAGTTGACAAAGTCCTACTAAGATTATATGGTACTAGTGTGTCAAAGATGTTTCGTTTAGTTTCGAGGTGGCCACCTACGCAGCTCCGCGTACCAACAATCGCTTCCCCAAAACCCCGAAACATCTCCAAACTGTAGATTGACCGGGTGAAGGCCGTCCCAAGATCAAAAAGCTATCCCTGGGGAGGAGATCCACACAAGCACATACAATCTTGCTAGCAAATTTTTGCCTAAGCCAATTGCTTCTTGGAGAGGAAATCGGTATGCTCCTGGTAAGGATTGTTGAGGAGGGGATTCTCCTTCCAGAGCTCCGGGCTCAAGTATCCGTAGGTAGCACGAAGGGCATAAAAGATGGCCTTGATAAAGTTACCCATGGTACGTGTGTGACCACACGAACTGGAGTAGCAATCATCCACACCTGCCATGTGCAAGAGTTTCTTTCCAGCAGGGGAGGAAACCAATCCGGTACCACGAGGAGCAGGGATCAAACGAACACGGACGGAACCACACTTTCCAGTGACCTTGCAGGGAACAGTGTGAGGCATACCACTGATACGTCCCCAGTATCCACGACGGACAGGAGCGACATTGAGCTTGGCAGCCGTAATGGCACCACGAATGGCAGTGGCGACTTCAGATGAGCACTTGACGCCCAAGCCCAAATGTCCCGCGGAATCACCAACAGCGACGAAAGCCTTGAAACGGGTACGCTGACCAGCCGAAGATTGCTTTTGGACAGGCATGATCTTCATGACTTCATCCTGGAGCTTGTCCTTCAAAAAGTAGTCAATGATTTCAGCCTCCTTGACCGGCAAGGAAAAGAGAAAGATCTCCTCGATGGAGCCAATCTTTTGTTCCTTGACGAGACGTCCCAACTTGGTAACGGGAGTCCAGACATTCTCTTCGTCACGGCCACGGCGACCTCCGCGTCCACCTCGACCACGGCCTCGTCCTCGGCCGCCACGGCCAAATCCACCGCGACCGCCTTCGCCACGGCCGCCACCACGGCCGCCGCCTTCACCACCACCACCACCGCCTGCTGGAGCTTCCGACATGATAGATTAATTAATTAACGAAGTGAAAACTTAAAGGAGGCTGCAGAACAGAGCAACGAAATTTGTTAGGAAATGAAAACAATTGGTTGACCTAAGCGATCGTACTCGTCATTGAAAAGCTGATTAGCCGCTTACCTTCAATCGAGAGTTTGATGATGATGACAGACGGTTTGTTGGGTGGAGATCAGCAATTTGCTTTGAAGTGCTCTTCTGAAAAAGTGAGTAAGAGGTAAGGATACACCGGGCAGCAGGGTTTAGGCTAATTTTTGGCGGCACCTGCAAAGCTGTGTTGGCATGCACCACGATCGGTGATGGAAATCTCGCCTCACACAGCTCCCAATTCTTGCTGTCATGTGCACAACCGGTATGTATTTTAACTTTGGAATTACAAAGTCCGATTTGGAAACCGTACTAGTATGTGATGGCCTCTTGCTAGGGCCATCCTGTAACCGTTTGGGGGTATAAAGACGCATTGTCCAGTGCATGACACTAGCTAGCTAGGATCCACTTCGCCATGCATCAAAACCAATACTGATAGACCACGTCCCATCTTAGTACCGTGGAGAATGCTAAGTCTGACGCTTTTGGCAAACAGCTGTGCCGCTGAGCACGATACGCTTTTACGGCTGTGCTGGGGCGGCGTGAAGCTTTGCATGAATCGAATCGAATCGAATCGTATCATTCAAAGTTTTAGGCTGGCCTTCAAAGCAAAGGAAATTTCATGTACTGTACCGGTATGTAGATAGATTTGCAATGAAGTGCACACGATCATAGCTACGACTATCACTGGGCCCTTCGTTTTTCTCTGAATTGGTCGGTCTACTATCGACTTATCTTCTAGTTATTTCTGGTTTCTCGGCGGCAGTGTCGTTTGCTTTGTGTCTCCTCTTTTTACCTACCTGCATTTCCATACTGTTGATGTCGTTAATGTTGTTGCATTTCAATCTGATACTTTTCTCTGTCCTCCATGATGGCGCCTTTAGCAAAGGGAAGTCTCTGAGCAAGGAATGATCTCAAAACTTGCTGCATTTTCTTCTTCACCAGTGATTCTCAACTTGTTATTATCGTTTGTTCGAATCCAACTGCCATTGATCTTCATTTTGAAGTACTGATTGCAAACAGAAGCATCATACGGAAGGAACTTCACAAGTTGGTTGGGGTCTCCCTCACCTTTAACCAAATTAGAAGTCCAGATCTCTGCATACTTGTTGCGATCTGGGACATTAAGAACCATTTGCGGCCTTGATGGGTTGTATCTAGGATCCATCTGGAACACATATCCTTTCCCACCTTGGCTAGGTCCATCGTTGAAAGTCTTAACTTGGTAGTCAGAACCGCTTCCTTTCATACGAACCCAACGGCCATCAGTCTTCATCAGGAAGGGTTCCCCATCAGCAGGACCGTCGCAAGGTGGAGTCACTGTTGGAGCTTCTGATGGTGAACCGGTTGGGGCGCTTGTGGGAGGCGCAGTGATGACATCTACCACCACAGGAGCTGCTACTGCTGCGTCAAGTGGCGGCAGAACGGGGGATGGGATTGGGATGACATCCACAATAGGTTCGATTGCAGTAACTGCAGACAAGAGTTCTCGGGCAGCAGTCCCTCGGAGCTGCTCATTGGCAGTTGCCACATTTCCAGAGGTGAGAAAGGCAACAAACAAGCTGAGGAAGAAAAGTTTCATGATTTGGTGATCTTTCTGAATGAAATTGTCGCTTGATGTGTGTTGAGTGGAGATTTGTGTGTTTTGTGAGAGGTGAGAGTCGAGTCCAAGTTTGTTCTCGCTTCCTGTGTTGCTATGTCAATTTTGTTCTCGCTTCTGTGTGAAAAGTTTTGTTCTCGCTTCTGTGTTTTGTGAGCGTCCGGAAACCGGAACAGTAACTGGTGGTCTCCTGAAACAGAAGTATCGATTTCACGGTTATAGTTTCACATTTTCGTGAAACTACAATTTTAGTTTCACAAGTAAATGGAAACTAGTTTACGGATTTGTAAAAAAATACACCACGACACAAAACCAATGCAATTTCACAGTTGAAACTGTCAAAGTTTTAAAGTCAATCGGATTGACATTTCCGACCTTCCTGGAGCCTCCTGCTGTTGTGTTATAAGTTAGTGTGCTAAATGTACTAATACGGCATCTGGTACGGTACGGGATTGGAGCACGTGATCGTTATATGTTGTGTCTGATTCTATTCTTGTTATCCCCATTTCATTTAAAAAATAGCATTCACTTCTCTTTTTACATGGGAGCACTACCGTTAAATGGTGGACCTGCGTAGACTTCATTCAGCGCACCGCGAATGCCTGGACCTCTGTGGAAACTCGAGTCGTGCAACCGATCGTCTCCTAAATCCTTTTGATCGTCTCCTATTTAATGGATTTCGTCTCCTAAAAATAGGAGACGAAACGGATCGTCTCCTAAATCTTTTGTCTCCTCTTAAAACGTCTCCTATTTTCAACGGATCGTCTCCTATTCTCAACGGATCGTCTCCTAAGTGTACCATGTAAACTGTATGGTATCGTCTCCTAAATCTTTCGGATCGTCTCCTATTTCGAAATTTTCGTCTCCTTATTGTAATGTCTCCTACTGAATCGTCTCCTAAATATAGGAGACGATTGCTTTCGTCTCTTAAATCATTTCTATCGTCTCATAAGCCTGGGTGTTTCGTCTCTTAAGTAATTTGCCGCGAATGGCGTTTCCACAGAGGTCCCGCTGCCACGCTTGGTTCCCATGGTGGCTACATGCAGCCAGCGAGGCTCATGTTTCTGAGAACTTTGTACCAGTACTAATAGTTGGCGGAGCCACTTGTAGCTTGCGGCTGCACAGAACCGCTTCAGAGCGCCATGCCAGTTTCGCACTTGCGCACCCTCCTGCTCTTGGTGTTCGCAGGACCAAAAGAGTAAGCGAAGGACCATACACAAACATTTGATAGCTACTGGATCAAGTGGAGACTCGACTACACAGAACCGAAAAGTAGAGAATTTGTTATACTCACATTCTCTTGTTGCAAAGGATGCTTCCTCAAAGACCAAGAGAAAAACTCGATGCAAAAGGGAGAGCCAATTTTCTAGTTATTTCTTGTTTCTCGGCGGCGGGATAGTTTTGCATTGGGTCTCCTGTTCTATTTCAATACTGTTGACGCCATTGACGTCGTTGGTGTTGTTGGTTTTCATCTGATACAGAGACGTCTCTGACCTACAATGAAGGCGACTTTAACACAGGGATGTCTCTGATCTCAAAACGGGCTGCGGTTTCTTCTGCAGTGATTCTCAAGTTGTCATCACCGTTTGTTCGAATCCACTTGCCATTGATCCTCAATTTGAAGTACTCATTACAAACAGAAGCATCGTATGGAAAGAGAGACACCCTGTGGGAGGCATCCCCCCGGCCTCTCATCAAATTATCATTGAAAGTCTCTGCACACTTGTTGCGATCTGGGACACACAGAACCCAATTCAAGTTTGAAGGGTCTGATGGAACTGCAGGATCGACCCGAAAAACATATCCTTTCACACCGCTGCTTGGTCCAGTGTTGTCAGTAACATTTTGTAATCAGCAGCGCTTCGTTTCATACGGACCCAACGGCCATCAGTTTACATCAGGAATGGTTCCCCAGCTTCAGGGTCATAGCAAGGTGGAGTCACTGTTGGAGCTTCTGATGGTGAACCGGTTGGGGTGATTGTGGGAGGCGCAGTGATTACATGGACCATCACAGGAGCTGCTGTTGCGTGAAGTGGCGGAAGCGTGGGGGCTGGGGTTGGGATCACATCCACAGTAAGGGGGGTGGAAGTTGCAGACAAGAGTTCTCGGGCAGTGGTCCCTCGGAGCTGCTCCTTGGCAGTTACCATATTGCCAGAGGTGAAAAAGGCCACAAACAAGCTGAGGAAGAAAAGTTTCATGAGTCTGGTGATCTTCCTGAATGACATTGTCACTTGATGTGTGTTGAGGCGAGATTTGCGAGTCAACAGTCAAGTTTTGTCCTGTTGTGTGTGGTGTGTACGGTACATGTATCTGTACCGTTTTGCAGGGCTAGTTTAGAGGCGAACGCGACCTTTATATGTTTTGATCTGATTCATGTTTTCCTGCTCTTCATTTAACTTAGCATTCACCTCTGTTTTGCAAAGGGAACACCACCATTAAATAATTCCGCTGCTGCACACCCAAAGAAGCTTGCACTTCCCATTTGGCCATTTGGTTGTAAGCGGAGGGATCCTGATCCAAGTACATGCATAGCTACCGGAGATCAAGTATTTGCAAATCAATGGATCTGTTCCGAGGCTGTGACTCGGCTGATCCCAGCCCTTTTGCATTTCTGGCGTTACTCGAGTTGGTTAGAAGATTCCCTTTCACAAAAATTCTCGATGATTCATCGTTCGTTTTGGTGGCCCTGTCGGTACGGTACCGGTACTGTACCCCTGAAAGCTGTCAAATCATCATCTGTGAACCCCTGAAAGCTGCCAAATCCTTGTCTTGCTTTGGTGGCGAATTGTGGTCCTGACATTGGCACCGCCGTACCGGTAGTCCTCATAATCACGTGCTTGGGCCTCATAACTTGGCTTGGTTGGCCATGGCCAGATAGAAGTGCAAATTACTGCTGTAGGTCGGGCGAGGAAACGGATCAGCCGGACAAGCGCAAGTGGAAACAAGAAAACGAAGTGCACAAGCCCCCGAAAAGTTTGCCAACTGGTTGTATCATTGGCACCATCGTTATCACTACGATCAGTGGCCTCAACCAGCGACTCAAGGAGCGGATCCTGGTTGTCACTAGCATCAGTGCCGATGATGGCTCGCAGCGCTGCCAAGTTGTCGCCGTCGACACCCATCAAGGCCGCATAATCTTCTGTGGTGTCTCTGTTTAGGGAGCCATCACTATCGTAATCTTCTTCAACATACTCTTCCTCATCCTCGATGGAGTGAATCAATGATGCCAAATAATTAGGGTCGATTCCGGACAGGTGGTAGTTGCCATGAAGGCCGCCATGGTTTCGGTATCCATGACGATGTTCTTGTTATCCTAGCTAGCAACACAAACCTACAGGTATGATACTGGGTCAAGTGGAGACTCCACAGAACCGAGAAGTAGAAAATTGGTTATCGCACATTCTCTTGTTGCAAAGGATGCTGCTCGACGAGCAGATGCTGATTGACGGACGAAGGCCGGACTGTCATTGGTCCAGGGCACCAGCCGGAACATCAAGTACGGTAACCCGGGCCAATTGGAACAATGTAATGCACGAAAGACCAAGCAATGCATCTTTAACAACCTTTCACATGGCAAATGATATCCTTTTGTATGGCGTACCTAAGGAACACGACACTGGATCTAATGAAAGTGGCCACAAAGTGACCAGCCGACTTTGAGCATACAAGATATCTTCGTCGTGGGGGGAATCGACAACTGTCTACACAACTGCATCAAGTTGAACATAGCTAGTTGTATTATGGCTTGCAGATTAGAGTGTGGATATTTTTTAACGTTTAGTGATGGCCGCTTCAATGCATTTCCCCTTTCTGCACGCTTGGCGGTGATGGCACGAGGTCACGAGCTTCATGCAAACACTCGTGCGTGCCACTTTATGCTCGATCCCATGCTCCCGGCTCTGTCCTCTGCTTGCTTATCGTAGTTTCTCGTTTTCCAAGCGCACCGTCGGGACATCCTTCATCTTGCCAATCACGAGCATGGCAGCAGCCATCACTGTGGCCTTGCAGACCAGGACTATCGATGCAATAGTCAACAACTCCATCCTGCAGTAACTTTCTATGAGCGATGACAGGAGAATTGGAGGACTGTCTATCTCGGGATAATGATTGGGAAACGCAATCTGCTGAGAACAATTGGATGATTCGTCATTCAATGCGTTGGGGCCGAAGATTCATTCAAGCGAATAATTAGTCAATCATTCATCATTCGATTGGGTCAGATTCGGCAGCCCACACCAGCAGCATCTCATCAGCGACATACACTACCGTACGGTAGAGGTGCGCAACGGTTTGAAAAACGTACCAAAGCTGATTGCGGTGAAAGATTCGAAAGCCAAAACGTTGAAGATTCGTGTGTCTGTCGGGCAACGCAACGGCAAGCCAGGGAGCTGGGAACAGATTGGTTCCTATCTTACTCAATTAGACCGGCTGAATTGTTTGGGTAGCTTTTATAGAGTAATGATGTTATCGGATTCTACTGGTAACCACCTCTGAACGACCTCCTAACGGGTATTGATGTACCGATGTAACACTCACATGGGGTGCCGGTACCAACTACCAGTACTTGCTAGCTAGAGTAGTACATGTACAGTCGCAGCATCTTTTCCAATATTGGGCACCATCCGAGGGAAGAAGTTCACAATTGAGAATGAAAAAGGTCCAAAAGAGTTGTGGTTGTTGGGACCGTCATATTGGTAAATTACCCAATCCAGCAATTCCTCACATGCATCTTGAGGAAATGTCAAATGTTGCTTCCTTTTCTTTCACGTTGGAGTCACCCAGATATATGCATTCACCTTTTTTGGCACCATGTTGCAGAGCCCACCCTGGTAGATGAGATATCTGCCATGTATATATCTTATGTTACAAATTTGCTTTCTGCTTTTTCCGAGTCTGGTTCTTCAGTTTCTTCCTTGCCACCTTTATGGCTTTTGATAGTGTTGTTGTAGGCGTCAATTTCTTCCCATGTCACAGCTGTAGCGGTTGGTTTGTCGTTTGTTTTGGCACCACCACAAGCCGAAACAACAGCGCCCCAGATGGTAGCCTTGGTGGTCAACACGGGCGCCAAAAAGAACAGAGCAATAACGTCCATTCTGTCAAGTTTTCTGTTGCTGATTGTTATCTTCTATCTGCTTGTGGCTCAATGATACCTTTAGGCGCCACTGACTGACTAGTGGGGGAACTTCTTCTTGATATCCAACAGTAGATTGCAAATGTTGTAGAGTGTGGCTTGTTCAGGAAACTACACGATCGCACTTGACGCTTGAAATTCGGGTTGAATCAGAAGAACAGAATCCCAAGAGCCGGAACTACAACGGCAACAGCAGGACTAGCTAGCTAGACTACTGATACCCCCAAAGCAATACTCCACAACCAAAAGGATCCAACGTCCCTCTTGCAAGAACCAGGCAGTTAATTTAGATTTGTGAGGTGGAGTAGCAGTGGGTGACTACCGGTATGATCGGGGTCAGGCATGGGTGAATGACTTGAGCGGCCATGTGTGTTTTTGTGCGGAAGTGACAGAGCTCTCAAACCAAATCTTTCGTTTTTGGAGCTCTCAGCAAAATTCTGAAAAAAATTCATCCAATTTGTACTTTGGGGAAATTCTGCGGAAAAGGGGAAAGCTGCTCCCTAGCACGCTTCAAGACACGTCAATCGTAATAAGTTAAACCAATGTATCGTATAAATCTGAAATAGAATGCTGAGGAGAGCCACAAACGCAAGTTCCTTTTGGACTCAAAGTGTCAAAATGGAACACGGAACTTAATAGCAAAAAATTCGCATACGTGGAAGCGATCGTGGAGTGTCAATCTGCTGGAGGACGCAACGAACAACGAACCACCCTGGTTCCTCTCGCATCAAGCACCCTCCTGCTTGCTATATTTCTTATAAGATAACCTCCTTCCATCAATGTTGTTCTCTCTTTCCCGTTGCTGGGGTGTGGAAATCATCTGACGACCATGACAGACTACGATCCCGGAGGCGTAGCGGAATTCGCCCCGCCACCACTTGAATTGTTCATGGAACCGACGAGAGAGATGAAGCGAGAGGTCAGTTGATTTTTGCTTGCTTCGCGATTGTGCGCAGATGGTGTGCGCATCAGCCAGCACGAAATCGAAACCCAGGAAGAAGCCCGCTGAGAACCGGGTGCATATTTTACCGTTTTTGTCTCTTGTGGCTTGGTCTGCAGAAACATCGACGATGACATCCTTGCCGCTGCTGACCCACATGCTAACTCTTTGCCTTTTCCTTCCAACATCATGATCATCATCTCTGCGACAACAACAACAGATGCGTAAAGCGGCAAAGCGTCCTTCTGAATGGTTGCGTTTGCTCGCCGGAGATTGGGCAGTGGGGAATGAGGCCATTGTCGAAATGGCCGACCAAAAGTTTATCGAATTCAAGCCCTACTTGAAAGGGATTCTTACCTCCCAACTCTTGTGCCGTCTCTCTGCTCCTGTCACTAACAGCGTGGATGGCAGCGGTCCTGCGGATTTTTGGAGAATTTTGGGAATCATGGATGAATTTGACAAGGTTCGTTCTTCCATTCAACGCACTTGGGGTTTTCTGTTGTTTCGCTCTCTTGTTCTTCTGACCTTTTTGTCTTTGTCTTCTCTTGTCTTGACAGGCCTACATTGTTGCCCAGGTTGAACGATTTTGTGTCATGTATAATATTCGAGGACTCCCAGAGGACGCAGCGGAGAATGTCAATCATTCGAATCTCTATACCAACGATCTGGCAACACAAGATGCTTCCATCGCGGCGGCCGCCGGAATCTCCGTGTCGCCCACTGGAGGAATTGTGAACCTGCCGTTTCCTCACATGGAAGCCCCTACAGCCGTGGCGGCCGCTGCTGCTGCGGCGGCTGTCACTCATCATGATGCGACCGTCGGCAAGTTGAGCAAGAAGCAAGTCAATGAAGTTTCTCGTGCTCATCGCATGGCCAAAGATGCCGAAAAGGCGTTGGAACAAGAGCGCCGTCAAAACCTCAAGAAGGAACAAAAGCGTCTTTCCCAAGAACGCAAGGAACAAAAGCAGCGCGAACGAGAGGCTGTACAGATGCGCAGGGCACAGGAACGCTCTCAGCGAGAAGCTTCTCGCGAAGACCGCCGCAAGAAAAAGCTGGAAATTCGAATGCAGCGAGAAAAATTCGCGCAAGAACAGAAAGACCTAGCTTTGAAGCGTGCGGCGGAATTGGTGAATTCCAACCGTGTTCCTATTGAAATTACTCGCGGAGCAGCTGCTGCCAAGGCGGCGGCCAATGCAGCTTTGGCAGCAGGAGGACATCAGCCTGTCCCAGAGCCCGTTGCCGTGCCCAGCAAGAAGCCCCGGTCGGCTATTGTGGTCTCGACTGCAGCGGATCTCCACCAGATTGTTACCCACTCCAAGAATTTGTGGGCCAAATACAACGCCATTGCGAAGGAGCACAATCAAAAGGTCAATTGGATCACAGTGGCAAAGGAACTTGGCATTCACGTCAAGGTCCGTGAAAAATACGCTCGCATGCACTCACGTGCCGAACAACGTGGGTTTGATTGGCAGATCAATGGCCACTTCAAAATCAAAGATCACCCCGAGATCTTTATTGAGCCGACCGAGTCGGAACAGAAGGCCAAGATGCCCCTCCCTCCTCCCGATACGAGCACCACGGTCCTAATTGCGGGCAACAAGGAGGTCAGTGACGGTGTTGCTGTTCACCATCATCCGCACCACCAGCCGCACGAACATCATCAGCCGCCTCAGCAGCACAATCCGCATTCAATTGCGCTCGAGCACAATCCGCAGCCTCCGGAACACCCGCCACAATTCAATCACCACCCTGGGTACAACGAAGCGCCTATGATGGTGGTGGATGGCAACTCGTCCGATGATGCCGCCTCTGCGGCCGCCCGCGTCGTGGATGCAGCGGTCACCGCTCATCACCACCCAGTGGATACACTTGTACCTCCCTCAAGCGTCGAAGATCATTCGGCTACTGCTGCAGCCGCAGCTGTCGCGGCTTCCCTTGTCGCGGATCCTACCGCCAACTTGATGCATCATCATGAAGAAACCTATCATCATCCACCGCCCACAGTCGCTTGAGCAGGCTGTGGCGGAAGGAAACAAGACTTTGTAATCTACAGACTTTGGAATGAATTCAATTATATTTAGAGAAGATAGGAGAGAGAAAAGATTCTATAGTGTGGAATTTTGAAACTAGACTACTGGAAATTCGCTTCATAACTAACTAGCTGCAACATTTTTGGTAATTCCTCGTGCGCTTGGTCGCCTGTCTTCGCGTTCTGGTACCGGTATCTCAAAACCACTGACAGTGAAATGCAAAAGAGCATCAACTGATGCTCGAGAAGGATGAACATCACTCATGTCCGCGGCGAGCTAGTTGGAGTGCATCCAAAGTAGCCTCTGCCATTCCCACCTCGTGCTCGCCTATGGACTACCACGAAGAAAACCAGGAGAATTACATTCATTTCACAAACTATGTGAATGCGTCCCACTTCAAAGTTCTTTGATTGACAGGACATAAGCTACCATCACACGATTTTTCTGTATCAGGTCTTATGAACAATCGTACGCGAAATGTCGACTCAATACTACAATAGCGCGAGTGAGGCGTGCCATAACTCAGCTACTGCGGAGCCGTCGTTAGAAACTGTGTGTTGTCCCATACCTGCTCGCAGAACTTGGTGCTGAGATTCTACCAGATTATCAGTAATAGCGTGCTATGTTGGTCATCTGTTTAGCTGGTTAGTGATTGCGTTGGTATTGGCCTCCTGGTCATATTGGTCTGCTAGAACTTCACACAAGTGACGTGCATATCCATACAGCTGCATGTCATAGCTGTTGTGAAATCCCAAAGCGCTCATGATGACACTAGTGTTGAAGCCATTGACGGAAGAATTGGTGGAAATGCCCCGATTGTCCAGAAAGGGTCGGACAACCTGTTCCCAATCAGTTTTGGAAGAATGTCGCGTCTTTGGGGTCAGATCTGGCTCGGCCTGTCCATCCAACGTTTCATTTTTGAATTGAAGGACGTGTCTCATTTGTCGACGAGTGCACGAAGTGGGGTCTTTCATGCCTTCTAGAAGCAGCACAGCCGACATTTTGTCGAGGTTGGATATGGCGTGGCTTAGTTTTTCTTCGTTGACTTGAAATTTAGTATTGGCACAGTGACCTGTGCCACAATGCCAACGAGTCTGTTGATTGTCGATAAAGTGTTCAAAGCCACCACCACGCTCCACCAAGAACTCTTCGAACGTCAAGTTTTGGAATTTGGCCTGGAGCTTGACATGATTGTAGTGGCTGAGTGTGCGAGCGTATGGATGCCGCAATGTAGTGATCCATTTGACACCATGGGCTGTTTTCCAGTTGTGATTTCTTGTTGCGAATTCGTTCCGAGGGAAGAATTCGTTATCTACAATGCCGCTGGGGATTGCCCCTTCATTGCCATACATATCATAATCCTCTTCTGGCCAACCTTGATGGGGATGAATGAAAATGGTGCATCCTGGTGTTTCCGGCACTTTCCAGCCATTCCTACATTACAGTAAAGAAAGGAGAAGCAAAAGTGAATAAAATGAGCTTGGGCTTTTCCTCCACGGTGGCTCTGTGAGCCTCGACTTATCCTTATGAAACTTACGCTCTTGCCAGTCGACAAAGCTCGGTGCCTCCTGTCTTCCACACATGCTGCATGACGAATTTTCCTGGTGATTTTGTTTGGTTGGTTGCGTTCTCACTCATCGTCAATTCCAATTTCAAAGCAGAAGAGACTACTAGCAAATGTGGTTGTTATGGTTATTTGTTGAGGTTTCGCCTCCCGGTGAAGAAGCTTTGGGAAAGTTAGATTCGATTCCTTGGCGTCGTCTTTTTTAAAAAGGGGAAAAAATGAGCAACAAAAAACTGCACGCCGGTCCAACCAGTGGCGGTTGATGATGGGGTAAGTGGGGTAAATTAATCAAGGTGGGGAAAATGCGCAGGCAGGTCAGAGTTTGTGAGGAATGGACCCTCATATCGCTTCATGCTGAACCCTATTTTGAGAAGCTTCGTTTGAGTCTTCTAAAGAGACCAGCTCTACCGGCTTTACAGCTGCGCGGGGAAGTCAACATGCCAACAAACAAGAAAGGGATCTTCCAAAAGCAAAAGTTCAAAAGATCCCCTGTGCTTCGGCTTCAGTTGCTCCTTGCTTGTGCTATTTCAGTACCTACCTTGCTAGTTTGGGCAAGCGTGCAAACTGGTGTCCATTCATCTTGCGACGAGATAAGAGTTACCTTATTTAAAATGGATGATGAGGTCTTTGTCAATGAGTATTACGTGGAGTACAAAGGCTGCTGGGGCTCCCTAACGTTGACGGATCAGATGCTTCATTTTCGGGCAGACCCCCCTCGCAAGTCCACCATCAAGTTGAGTTGGTTGCTTTTGGACAAGCTGCAAGTGTCAGTCACACGGAAACGCCTGTCGATTGTCACAAAGTCGGGAAAGACAGCGACGTTTACCGTGAAAGATAGAGAGACTCTGGATAATGTTCGGGGGGATATGAAACAGTTCGTGCAGACAGCCCACGATGCCAAGAAGAGCGCCTCAGCAAAACCACCACAACCGTACCGACGTCAGAGCAGCATCACCGCTCCCATTACTCGAATGTTCCAGGGAGCCCTGGATTATTACTACTCGACATCTACCCGCCATATAAGTGCCAATAATGCCAAGCACGAAGATCCCGAGATTCGACAACTCAAACTCAAATATGCTGCTGACATTGCCAGGAATCCTCAAATCAACGACCTAGACAATCAAATCAATCAACTTCAACGGCAAATGCAACAGGTACAATGGGAACGCCGACAATTTCAAAGGACACAAGAAGCTCAGCTAAATCAGGACAAAAGCCACTGGAAGAGTCAACAATACGAGCTTCAAACCAAACTCGATCGAATTACCAGGATCATTAATGAGGACGAAGATATATCCGAAGATCCCAGTTACTACATTGCTAGACGTGCGTACACCAAAGCTGTCCAAAAAGCATCCGCCAAAGTCGCCCACAAAGCCGCCCCTCCCGTCCTGACCAATGGGAATCGCTCCGCCAATGGCGCACAAATCAATGCCAAACGCAAAACCCAAAAACAAATTCTCGATGTGGAAACAAACCTATGTCAAATCATGCACTTTTCCATGTGCTTGCAACATCAAATCAGTGTCCTGAAAAAGAACAAACTACTGGTGAGCAGTTACCTGGAACGAGAAAAGCTAGTGGTGACCAGTGAACTGGCGCAAGATCAAGAATTTCAACAATTATTGGACAACAACAGTGATACGAGTACTACTACTAGTAGTCATTACGAACAATGGTTGACACAACAAGAGGCGGCATTGGAACAGTTACGGGAACTCATGTCGGGACATGGTCCGTCGTAGCCATGCTTCTTACATAGTTTGAAGAAGCAATCGGAGTTTGTACGCAGTGAGTTAGTCCATGGGCGGGACATGTAATAAGTGTCCTGAAGTTGGGATGGGCATGGGTCCAAGTTCGCAGGTTTGTGCACCTTATCCCCCGAGCCGATGGTTTCATTCGTACGCTTGTCAAGAATTGGCGAGCACGAACGTAACACAAAGTAATGCTATCATTACACCCTGTCTGAGCTCATAAACATGGGAATTTCTTGTTGACTAATTGGAATCTAGTATGTAGTTCCTCCTCAATACTATTCTAAATCATCAAACCTTGGCGCTGCCCAGCTCTCTAATCCTTCGCAGATGCATTGTTCACTGTTCCTCTTCTTGAGCAGGAATTGGCTGCCCGGTTGCTCTTTGAAAGTGGACAATCCTCCACTGGTTATCATGTTCGCACTTGGTCCAAGTGAGTGAGATCTTGGCTCTATCTTCATTTTTCACATCGTTGTAAGCGAAAATCATGTCAGCCGTCAAGACTGTGATGGCGGCCTTTCCATCAGCAAAGATCAGACACGAGTCAACCGAAACAATCCTGTTCCTCTTTCGGTCCAAGTAGGTAACATTGTCAGAGGAAATCATCTTGCACCAAGCTTGGCTAGAAAGTGGGTTTCCTGAAGCACGAATGATCCCGGGACACTCCTTGGCAAAGTACTGCAAAGGTTCGAAAATCGTACAAGCAAATGATGAGAACGGAAAGTACAAACGCATAAAATGACCTAGTTGAAAGCATTCACAAAACAAACCTGATTCCACCATTCTGTGAATCCTTTCCCGTTGGAGAAACTCATTTCCATCCAATCGTTGTAGAAGGATTCTAGTCGATTCTTCACACCATGCTCCTCCGTCGTGTTGAGAGTCATGACTTTGGTCATGCTTTCGCTGAGCACCTGTGTTGTTTGGACCGTCATTTTGTTTCGGCACGAGTTTCCCGTTTTATGATAATTTGATGAAGTTATGAACGCTCGGCAGTGGCGTCCCCATCGTACCGGTATGACAACAGACACTGAGACTTACTGGTCTTCCGGTTTCCACCATGCCGCACTGCAGTGTCGACAACGCTCGCCGCCACTGTTGATGATGGACCCAGGCACCTGGGGGAAGCAGACCAATGACGAAAACATCGCTGGGAAATTTTATCCTTAACTCTAACAATTCGGTTTTTTTCAGCATTCGTCTCTTGATTCCTTAGTAAAGTTCCAGCTCGCTACACTCCGGTACAAGTACCTCATGTTGGATCATTATGACAAATACATGCACAACGTATAGTTACATCGGCGACAGTGGCAACAGTACCGAACACACTCAGGTTCGGCTTTGCTCGCTACACTCCGGTACAAGTACCTCATGTTGGATCATTATGACAAATACATGCACAACGTATAGTTACATCGGCGACAGTGGCAACAGTACCGAACACACTCAGGTTCGGCTTTGCTTCGCTACACTCCGGTACATAGTACTCATGTTGGATCATTATGACAAATACATGCACAACGTATAGTTACATCGGCGACAGTGGCAACAGTACCGAACACACTCAGGTTCGGCTTTGCTCGCTACACTCCGGTACAAGTACCTCATGTTGGATCATTATGACAAATACATGCACACCGTATAGTTACATCGGCGACAGTGGCAACAGTACCGAACACACTCAGGTTCGGCTTTGCTCGCTACACTCCGGTACAAGTACCTCTATTGGATCCTTATGAAATACATGCAAACAGAACATTGTCAATCAGCCTTGTAGCCAGCTGTATAGTACATCACGAAGTGGCAACAGTACCGAAACGTTCGGCTTTGCTCGTACGTACGTACCTCACATTGGATTCCTTATGAAATGACGAATACATGCACAACCGAATATTGTCAATCCAGCCATTGTAGCCAGTTACCGTAGAGTTACATCAATCGGTGACAGTGTCAACAGTACCGAACACACTCAGGTTCGACTTTGCTCGCTGCACTCGGTTACCTCGCATTGGATCCTTATGACGAATACACGCACAACCGAATATTGTCAATCCAGCCATTGTAGCCAGCTGCCGTATAGCTAGTGGCAACAGTACTTGACTTGCGCATACAGGAAAATGGGTACCGACACAGGAATCACCACCAAAACAGTAGGAAATAACAAGAAGGGATGAATCCGGTAGGAGGATCCACTCTCTTGTGTGTTGTCGTGTGTTGTATAGCCTCTTCCTCCGGTTGACTGTTGCCATTCAATGACCCGACGATGTTCAGGCTGGTGATAGGGCTGGAGTTAACAGAGCATCCTCTTGTTGGTAGCGATCGATCGAAGCCTCTCCTCTTGTTGTCCGGAGCGACCGAAAAGGACTCGACAATGGTAGTTCGCCAGCCTTCAGCAGTAAGAGAAGAGAAAGTAAGAAATAGCTATGGTTTTCTCTTCTATTCTGACACTGAAGAAAACCAGCGACTTACCCTTGCTTTTCAAATTGCACCAACTTGGCCGTCATGGGCCGAGAACTGACTGCCATCCCATGGTCCATAGGATTCAATGAGGGATGGCTTTCGAATCTGCACCGGAGACGACCGGCTTGAGTGAGACTTGGATAACAGAGATAATAGAGGTGCGATCGATCGATTCGAATAACTAAAAAAATTCACCTGTTGACGGCCGAGCTTGGAATTCTCTCCTGAATACCATAGAAATCTAACGAGGGAGAGAAGTCAGCGCTGCACCTTCAAGTAACACTCTTGATAATAGGCTTACCTCGAATCGATTCAATCGATCGGCCGATTGGATAAAGCACTCACCATGCATTGTTGTCGGCCAAGCTTGGATTTCTCTCCTGTTTACCATAGGAATACAATGAGGGAGAGATGCTAGTGCTGTGCCTTCAATTGAACCATTCATCGTACCGTACTCAATCAGTTTGTCCTTAACCTTAGTAACTTCAACGGTTCTTCTTATCCACGAATCGATCTAAATCTTTCGAAGCACATGACCGTTGATTCTGCAACTGAAGTGCGGCTACTCTATTTTACACAGTAAACGCCGGCAAATCGATTTCGGAGTGCAATGAGGGGGTAACCAAAAGGTGCGTCGTCTCATGAGACGTAACAATGTACAAAGGAACTCCAGAGTGCTCAGGGTGAATCGAATCGAATCGAATCGAATCATCGAATCATTCAATCTTACTGGATGTTAATATGGTGTGAGACAAACGATCTGGACAGATTTTTGGCTGGGAGCCAGATTTGGCCCAGGTTATGTGCCAATAATAAGCGGACCCGCACCCAAATTATTTGCTAATAATTTGGGTACGAGACTTAACAGACCGGTACTAAAAGCACACCCAGACGCACCGTAGCCAGACTAAACTGGTATTGAGTGAGGCCATTTCTATCGATCAACCCAAAAAGGGTAGAGAAAGTTTGTCCACAGTTAGTCTTCCGAATAGATTGAATCCATTGAATCAAACTTCCTCCTCCAGCCATCGTGCAACAATTACAGCATTGGCATTATCCACCACTCCACGATGACAAGACCAAATCAACCTCGCAATGGCCAAATGTCAGCGGCAACTGCGCAGCATGCTGTTGCAGCCACCCCACCACATGCACAGACTGCTACTGCGGCGCCTAGAGTCGCAGCTACTGCTACAGGAGGTGTTATCTTGCGAAACCCTGCAAACTCTGGTGTCACAATTGGGATGGTTGGATACATCACCGACAAGAGAGCAGGAACGAGACCACAGTAAACCATCAATGCCATTGATCCCAAGGTAAAAGAGTTCAAACTTTGGTGTGAATATGCCTACAAGGATGATCCCTACAAGCACAATATGGACAAAGACAAATGCTACAAATTTATGTTTCTACAAGCAATGCGTGCCAAGAAGAAGACTGGTGGCAAAAGAGCGGCCAATGGCCAACCCAAAGTATCATTCGACAAAGAGCTCTGGGACAAACTGGACAAGATGTTCAAGGAGGGAGGCGCGAACCTGACTCTCCAGCCACCAGCAAAGCCTCTTGGTTTTTGCAGCTTCAACCAATACAGAACAGTGCTGAAAGGAATCCACAACAAGCAAGTCGCTCTGGCAGTCAATGCCATTCCTTGGGAGATGATATGGGATGTTGACTGCAGAAATCTGGAGAAGCATGTGAAAGAGAGACTGCCTGCAATTCGCAAAGCCAACTATGAAGAGAAGATTGACCAAGAATTTGCTCCATATGCATGTGTACAGAGCTTTGGAGAGATCGAGAGCGCCATGTGGGATGCGGCAAAATTGGCTAGCGGCAAGAGAAGCCTCTGTGCAAAGCTGCGTCACTGCATGTGTACACTGTTGCTCACCAGTGCCATTTTGCGAAGTGTGCGACAATACCATTGTGCATTGATTAATCTAAAGATCTAAGAGATGTAAAGTTTGTATTTCCAAATAAGTGAGCAGTTATTGATTATTTCTAGAATAAGCCTGCTAATTGTAAAGCTGTAAAGCTGAATTGTAAGTCTGTATCGTCGCACTCCTACAGCTGAAATGAAGCTGGAGCAAGAAACGATAGAGAGAGTCCCCAGCAAAGTGTGAGGTAAATTACCATCCGTGAGGAGCTTCCGAATGACATCAAACTGTTGAGCCGGAAGCCCTTAGTGAAAATGTCGGCCCGTTGTTCCAGAGTCGGATATACTTGGCCACGATGCCTTTGACTCCCCGAATTGGACTGAAGAAGTGGTACTTCAATGCAAATACTTGTTCGCGCAGACATCTTGGAACATTCACAAGAGACAGCAACCTTGGTTGTCTTCGAACACTGTTAGAGCGCACGAGACTGTCAGTAATTACGGGCATATTCAGTTTTACCAATTTCTTTGGCAAAGCTCGCATAGGAGAGCTCCCTCATTGACATGCTGAAGGCAACATACTCAGCACAGTGGAGCTCAAATAATGTCAGTCTGTAGCTTCTGGACCAAATAAGGGCACCCAAACAAGTCAAGACAAAACCAGTGCGAGACTTGACGTGACACAGGATCCTGTTCATCCTCATATCCATACAATCCGTGCGAAGTCAGCATCGACCCAACATCAAGTCCCTGATCAAGTTTAGGGCTAAACAAATGCCTTTGTCACTTGTGCCAATCAGATACCGAATGATACGTTTGATTGCTTGAGCATGGGAATGCCTGGGATTGTGACTGAATCGTGCCACCTGGTGCACACTAAATGTGATGTCTGGGCGAGTGTTGGATGCAATTAAAGCAGCACCCAACTGCAGCTGGTAGCTCCACTCTTCTTCAATGGGGCCCCAGTTTGTCAGCTCCAGAGGATCGGTGGCGGCAGGAGAAAGCTTCTTGCTAGCGTCAAGACATACCAGTATATTCTATGACCTTTTTGATGAGCTTTTTTGAGTAAGCTCAACATGTCTCCCTGTCTTTCAAAATTAATCCGAGAATCCAAAGATGTCACCCTTTCTTCCATGTGAGGTCATATCCAAGTCTGGAGCTGCCCAACATAGGACTCAATCAGATCATTTCTGGACGAGCAGATTTGGTCATACAATAATTAAATACCATAGTTGTGCTCCTTATGAATAAACAAACAAGGTCGCTGCCGAGTTTCGAAACAAGTTGGACATCCCACGACATAGATGCTCATAAAATAATTTGGTGAATCGTCTGCCCATAGATGGACGTTCAAGTTTCAAAACACATAGTCCTGTCCTTCATAATCTTTGGGTCGATAGTACTGAGGCATTCCATGTACAGTGGCTGGTCGACAGGCTGAGGGCTTGACAGAAGCAAGAGTAAAATCAACTTGTCTCGATTCCCATCCATGAGAGCTGCAAGAAGAAGACCGGCTCTACACAGCAACAACAGTGGAGAGTACGCGACGCCTCATAGGACTGAAGGTCTCCTCTGAGCACCATCTAGATTTGAACTTATTTAATTGTCCGTCTGGTACCTCTTAATTCGTTGCACCACATGTTCCAGGAACCGCTTTAGGTGTGAGGGCATAGAGGAAGTGTACGATGTCCAAGTCCCTTTGCCTTCAAGGCTGGCAATTTTTTGTCCATTGCTGCCCAAATGGTTGCATGTGGTTCCATCAGATATTCCTTCAGAGGGGGGAGT